TTTAACGGTAAACTATAATTTAATAAGGTTTACTAAGTTTTTCATTTCAAACTTCGATTTCTACTGTTCCCAATAAAGAGATAAAAAGATATAAGTACACTTGAGATACCAAGAAAAAAATAAAGTATTGAATATTTGACTTCTTGTGGCTTAGTGTTTTTAATTATTCTATATATCTTTGAATAAAGTGTAACTTGTTGAAGCTAGTTTTTTTAGAAAATAATTTAGCATTATTTTGACTCATCATTGTAAAGCACAAATAACTTAAAAATATATTTTTTAAATATATCAGTTTCATATAATTTAATTTTAGTAATAACTAAAATGTAACTATTTCAAAGTCGTTATGTTCTTGAAGCTTTCTTTTATTAAACTGTAATTCATACAAATAATATTGAAAAGAAATATAATATCAATGATTCTTGAAGTAAACTGTCTTTATTACATTCAAGATATCACAGTATTTGACATTCATTTATTTCCGTCTTGATCTTTAAAGAAGCTGATTACGTTGACTTCGAAGATGTCCAACTTTACCTATTATATAAAACAATACACGTACACAATTATTTAATGTATACTAATGCAATAAAATTAGACACACTTCACTGAAGTCAAAAGTCAGTGGTGGCCTAGTGGTTAAAGGCCCACGTCTCGTGTACGAGGCCGCGGGTTCGATCCTGTCAAATGTGATTTTTCCGAGTCATATGTTTGTTCTTTCTAAGAGTATTTAGACATCACTGACAGACGGAGAAGTGGTGAATGGCGTTTTGAATTTTTAATATTTTTATCTTATCCATGTGAAAAGACGCCTTTGCTCAGCAGTGGGCTCTGATAGGCTGATGATTTTGCAATGAATGAAACTAATATTATTTGGATTACTACGAGTATTTTATTATTTTAATTTACTCCCGACGTTTCGGTTACTTTTTATCAACAATGATCACGGACAGACGAGATGTGGCACTCTTAGATTTCATTAGTCTTGTAATAATTTTTGATTGGAGGATGTCTATAATTTGTTGTTTTATTTTCGAATCAATTAGACTGATAAGTGATAGTCACTATAACAAGTAGTTTAACAGATAAATAAAAAACTTTTTCAACAGCGTGTACTTAACTTTTTTGCTTTACTAATTTGTTATATCTATTTGGGAATTGGGAGTGAAATAATATAGTATTAGTTGAAATATATAATTAAAATAAGTCATGCTTTTAATAACATTATAGTTTAATATGTTTTTCCTGATTTATTTAATGTACTTCCACAAGGTGACAAAGTAAATGTCAAATATCTACCGCTGACCTACTTCGACTTATTATTTCTAAATAACATTTTAAAGTTCTAGAAAAAATATAGAATTTTGGAAAGTTTACAACAATATTCAGGAACACTGTAATAATATAATAATGTTTACGATTACGTTTTCTCTTAATTTTTCTGCCTGACATCAACCTTCTTAGGGAATGTATAAATCACCACGCTTGCTCAAGACGGGTTGGTGATTTCAAAATTAAAATTGTGAAATTATAAGTTCAGGTTTCCTCACGATGTTTTCCTTCACCGTCTGTCAGTGAAAAATCACATGAAACATATGAAAAATGTTTGAATTGAAATTAAAATAGGAGAAACAACATTAAAAAATCATAGTTATGAGCAGGGTTTGAATTTTCAATCGACAGATGACAACGTTCTAGTTGTCTGAGCTCTGAATTAATATATTTATTTCCTATTTGAAACTTTACTAAGGTTTGCCAACTATGTTTTTATATTTAATTTATTCTAAAAGATATTTTCTTCTCATCCATATATATGTACCTAGGACTTTTAATGTTAATTATGTTCTTTGTAGGAGTTACGATATGATGCCGGATACTTGTATGAGTTTATTTTTAATATAAATTGATACTATATATAATACAGTAGTTTATAACTTTATTATATGTTAAATGAAACTAATATTTTTCGGATTATACTACTCGTATTTTGTTATTTTAAAAAACTACATACTCCCGACGTTTCGGTTACTTTTCAGTTACAGTGATCACGGACGATTTTAGTTTTATTTAAATGAAGACTCACGAAAGTTGTTACCTTTTTATATCTATTTAAGGCCAAATAAACAGTAAATAAACTCTCTTTTAGGGTTCGGTAATTTTTATAAATTATGCCTAACATCGTAAAAGTATTATTTTGGTGAATATTAAAATCATATTATAGATGAATTTATTTCACACTTTATACAATTTATTCTATATTCATAACGATATTAAAACATGTCTCTTCATTTGTTGAGATCCATTCTAAATTGGTTATAAACTCACAACTTGTAGTGTTTCGTCCAGCCACTGTTTCAATGTTTCACGACGGACAGACGGATATGTTATCAAGAACCTCTACATCACTGTAATGTATTACCTTTCATCATGATTTTTGTAAATAATAGGGGGCAAACGAGCATGCTAGCCACCTGATGGTAAGTGGTCACCACCATCCATGAACAATGGAGCCAGAAAAAGGTACTCTCTATGCGTGCTACGAAAAAAATGTCACGAGGTACTCAGCAAACTAAACATGACGTTATGCATTCGAGAAATATTTACAAACCGTTCATACAAACAGTTTAATAAATATATTCCCCCTCACTGCTGTGTTATGAGGATAAGACATTGTTTTCGTCGGGGTTCGGGAAAATATTCAAAGTACTGTGAAACACTTCAATCGAGGGTGAGATTCTGTATGCGTAGCTTTTTCCTCGTTGGATTGTCACAGGTTCTACTGTAGTGTTTCTGTTATCTAAAAACAATCATCATATATTCAGTACTTCGTTTAAGCTGGTGTTTGATCAATTATATAAAGGCACAGTCTTTAAACGTCCTAGTAAGAGGTTCCTACTCATAATGTCAAAAGATTAAATTCAGGGTAAATATAAAAATTATTTATTACTGGTTATTTCTAATATAATCTTTTGTCTTAAAGCAAGTTTTGTTTTTAACATCATCTCAATGTATAAGAGATGAAAAATACGCAATCTCTTTTCTTAAAAGGTCTTGTATAGGTAGTCTTACTTAGTTAGGTAGAGGCAATTTAAAGTGCATCTTTGTCGAGGTATTAGATAAAATATGTAGTAATAATTTTGATGTCATGTAAAATATATACGATGATTAGTTTTTGCCCGCGACTTTTTCACCGTTAATTTCGGAATTAGTAATATATGTATAGCTGACTGGACGAACTCTATTCCGTCCTAGAGGCTCTAAATAATCAGATATTGGAATTTACAAAGTATTATTCTTCTCCTTCGATCTTTCTTCGATCGAACAGAACTAAATATCATATGTCCGTCTCCTTGTTCTAATCTATCTCTCCACCAATTTCCAACCATATCCGTACAGCAGTTCTTGAGTTATAAATAGTGTAACTAAAACGACTTTCTTTTATATATATAGGTATACTAAAAAGACTGACAATTCATTTATTTTATATAAAGAAATATTTGGTCATATAATATTTTAGTTTTAATAAGCGGAATCTCATCAGTGATATGACATCAAATTTTATAATGAATTTGCTTTCAAATTTACTCCGATAAATGAATTAGGTCAGGAGATTGCTTACAAACACAGACGGGAGGGCGAGGTCGTGTGTCGCTCACAACACAACACATAGAGAAAATAAACAGAATAGTTTCATATGTAGATGACATGATTAAATGAAATGAAACTAGCGAAAAGATTCGTTTGTATGTATGAAAATGAAATTAATTTGATCCATTTGTTTAAAAATATTAAATATATCAATATATTTAAATTCAGTAAATAAAACTCTTATTGAAAAAATAATATAAAATGTTCAATTCACTAATTAATTTTTAGACTAGTTTTAAATTAAACTAATATATAATAATGAATTTGGATATCAAGAAACCAAATATCATATTTTAGAGGAGACATCAAAATTTGATAAAATAATTATAAATGTGTTTTTGTGTGTTCCTAGATGTTGTTAATTTCATAAAACTAAGAATAGAAAAGAATAGAAGATGATGTTTTGTAGATTATTTTGGAGTCTTTATATTTAAAAATAGTGGAATATTTTACAAATAATCATTATAGTACATACCTTCTTAAACCCAAATACTAGTAAAAAAATCTTACAAATAACAACACTATTCATATGTCTGTTAAAACATCAATACCTCAAAAAACAGCAATTTAAAGTTTAAGAATAAAATAAAAGCAACATACATCTTTTGTCAAATGTACACAGTTAAAACTTAACTAAAGTCGGCTTATAATATATTCCGTAGTCAAGTTTTGACAGTAAATTTATTTCTTTATAACATGACATCAGAAGCACAATGGCAGTGACATTAGCAATCATTTGAATATAATAATGTTCTGTACGGTCTGTGTGTTCGGCTGTCCTCGTAGATACAAAGCGGTTCCTCACAGTCGAAGTTAACCGCACATTTTGCAGGTTTCGTCGACAACGAACCAGGTATGAACACGGTTCCATCGTCCCGAAACCCGAATTATGTGAGGTTTCTTCTTTAATTTCGAGTTTCTTCGTCTTCCTTGCACGTCGTCTGTGGCTGTTGTCTTCTTATTTACCAGTAAAAACAGTATGAATAATCTTATTTAGGAAGTACGTTAAAACTATTTTTATATCCAAGCTAAACTTATTTGACAAGATCATCTTAATTTTAATTACAATATAATACAATAGCATCGCTTGATTAATTAAAAGCGTGAAGGGCTTTTAAGTTTAAGCAATACGTGCGTCTTACATACATATATTATATATATCAATTTCCCTCTAAAACATATCAAATTCTGTCAAAGTCAAATTCATTATGTAAACACATCTCTCACATTTCAATATCTCAGTCGTCAATCGTTTCACGGTGCGTGTTAACAAAGTCCACAAGACGGCTCCGACACGTTCCCGATGACCAATTGTTTGTGTGCGCGTCGAGTCTGAAAGTTTTCCCATTTATTCAGTACTCATACGTCAGCCGGGCGGCGGCGCGCGGCTCCGTTCCGGCCCGATAAGGCGGCGGCGGGTCCTTTGTGTCGGCGTCGGCGCACGTTTCCTCTCTCCGTCGAGCCAGCCGAGTCAGCCAGCCGCCGCATTGTTCCCTACCTAATGAACAAACTTATTCTCGAGGCTAATGCAGCCTCCGCCGAATTTAATGTTATCTCACACAATTGTCACGCGTGTTGACGAAACTATTGTACCCACACTCCACAGGCCTAGTTCTACTCGATGACTATATTAACTCATTGTTTGTACAGGGACCCTGACATGTATGAACGGGTCCGACGACCCCCTGCTACTCCTCCACGCCCGATATAATATTTACATTTACATATAAATCACACAGTGTTGTGTTGTGAGAGGTTTGATTCAATTATCTGGTATCTAATAAGTTGTATAGCGTATTCCATCGACATTATGTTCGATGCTCTCAATTTGAATAGCGGAAAAAACGTAGACAACCGTCGAATAGCTGTGAAGGGAACAAATCGCATTTCGATCGAGGAGATCGAGGAGAGGGCAAATCTTTTATGTAATATAAGATTGTCATCGCGATTATTATACGCAAATAGAATACGAGGGATCAGTAAGTAGGTTAGCGAGTCGCTTCCTTTGGTTAAAATTACTTTATTGGATGTTGCCAGCTCGCGTGTACCTTATTTAGTTATGTTTATAGTCCCGGCTATATCCAAAATATTGGCGGAAATTGCACACATTTTAAAAAGTACCAAAACATTTGAACATAATTCGCAATATTAATAATAACATTGTAATCAAATTCACATCAGAGTACTGGTTATAAATTGTTTTCTATGTAACAAATACATAATATTACAATATCGTTTTATTTTGCTACAAAAATAAAGAAAGAACAAAACTTCCAAATCATATTTTGTTTAGGAAATGATGTGAACCAAAACTTTACCTGAGCGAGGGGTGACATCAATTTGTTACAGTTTCTTCCCTTACTCAAATTACTCCCAAATACAAATTGTCTGAAAGGAGATGAAGAGAAACTGCGCAACAACTTTACAAGAAACAGTTGGCTGATACGTTGTAGTTGTACAGTTTTATTTGTTAACATCTTAAGGATATCGAGGCAATTATCAAAGGAATCGACCCGTGACTGATTAGTATCTAATACTATCTAACAAGTAAAGCATAGCGCGAGCAGGTGTGTGGAAGAATCATATATTATTAGTAGACTGCGAGACGTAGTCTTATTAAAATATCACCTCGTGAATGTAGCGCGGCAAGTCGAGTGTGGCATTCAACGACTTGCACCCAGCTTACTTATACTGCTACGAAAGGTTCACAAATGTATTATAGTATTAATAACTAATGCAATATGAATTATATCCTTACAATTTGAAAAAGCAATACTTAGATTTACAGGTACCGATGTTCAAAGTAATCAATTTAAAGAAATTTTACAATACGTTTATTATGTACAAGTTTAAGTCAATAATTGGTTCATGTATGAGGGATATGTTGATCGTCTTAAAGCTTGTTTAGCTTACAAGAGGCAGTGTTCAACATTTAGTTAACAGGTATTACATCGGTATTAGTTGGCTCCGAGTCAATATTCAATATAAACCTGGACCGGTAACCGGCACGCGACGAAGCCTTGTCGTGAAAAGGGATTAGATTTTTCATCATCTTTGAGACACGAGCTTTTTGAAAGGGAACAAAATTTATCACAAGTAATAATGTGACTTAGCGTAGCTTCATCCGGGTCCACTCGATCACTTGTACGATATTAAAATTATTATTATTTTGATACAGATGCTTGAGATCTATCTAACATTATAAAACAGTCACATTCTACTAACAGAATAAAGGCTGTCTATACAAGGTGTGTACTCCTATATGTGTCGAGACAAGGCAGCCTTTGAACTGCACCGCTTCATCGGCGGCAATCATAGCTACTAGCAGTATGACAGAGACTGAGGGGATACTTTTAAATATCACGACAACAAAGGGATAAAAATGTTGACTGCAATTTACCGCTGAGTCGGAGCCGCGGCCGGGTGACTAAACTGAATTTATGCTTTGAAATTAACTTAAATTGGACAGGCGGGTTATTTTTGAAATCAACTTACTGCTGTAATTTACGGTGTGGTTTAAATTATAATTTATTGGATTGATGTGTAATTAATTTTGTTATTATAAATATATATTCAGTCAAGTTGAGTGGTCGCTGTTATAGTGACAAAATAAATCTTACAAACATTTTAAGTTCAAATGTCGTATGATCTCGGCCGGTGTTCGGGTTAAAATATAAGATGTAAGGAGCTGGTAAATTTTCATTACGAGCTAAGTAAGGTTTGGGATAATGGAAGGGATTGTCTCGAGTTGTAAGCGTTTTAACAACTTGTTACACTAAACGGCTTACGGTGTTCCCACTTTTGAGAACTACGAATTACTTGTTAATAGTGTGTAAAATGAAGTCGTGGTGGCCTAGTGGTTAAAAGGCCCGCCTCTCATGCATGAGAGCGCGGGTTCGAAACTCAGCAAGTACCAATGTGATTTTTCCGAGTCATATGTACTTTCTAAGAATATTTAGACATCTCTGATTAATGCATTCCCAAAGAGGGTTGATGTCAGGCAGGCGGGCGGTCGTAAATACAATTAGCCAAAACTATTCACATCATGTAATGCAGACCCTGGCTAAAGCTGGGAAATTGCCAGGTAGAACAAGAAGTGTGTAAGATGTACATAATGTTTAAGAAACCTTTAAGAGTCAGACGTCCAAGGAAAGAATAGAATTATCTTATAATTGTTCGTATGTTTCCTCCATAAATATTTCACTAATATTTTTTTATATCCGAATTCAAATGGAACATTAACATAGCATCAGATTTGACGAAAAAGAAAGTAAAACTGTGAACATTAGTTTATAGACGTTGTCGACACTCCAAGCTTTTATCCCCTTTCAGTGAGGGTGAAATCTCTTACATATATTTGGAAAAGGCAAACAATACAATGGCCGATTAAATAAAATCACTGGAATAGTTCCAGTTTTCCTTGTTTTAAAACCGATTGTAAGATATGCTCGTACATATTATAGTGTAATATGAGAAGGTTCAGAACAATAGTTGATGTGATCAGTTTCCTAAACCAGTAACGCGATCAGTGGAGATGACAGTCCATATTTTAAGTTCCCGACACCTGGTGGAGGTTCCACCCTCTTTATTGATATTAGGGTCGTCGCATTAAACACTCCAGGCGATGTGTATTGGCTTTTACGGAGCCTACAATAAAACTAGCTAAAGATAAGGAAAATAGCTTCTCGATTATCTTAAAAGTCTATTTTTATATAAAATTATAATATTTATTGCTTACAGTCCCACTCGAAGTTGATATAATAATCCGGACAGACGTTCCAGTTATCTCGACCGTTCTTTAAGAATTATTATTTATCTAAGTTTATTGTGAGGGTTATCAAAGAATTCTCAGGCAAAGAAGATATGAGGAAGCGACCGGGGCGCAATAATAACAGAGCTGCTTCATTCAGTTAAAACGTCTCTCTAATACTTCAGTAGCGGAGGCGGTCAGTTCCGAACAACGCCACCTATAATTGCGTCCGTTCCGAGTCCACTTTCTTGCAAATCCTCACTCCTTGTCTTCTAGGATAGTTATTTGTTATCGCCAGCCCCTAATTTGGTATGAACGAGGGTTTGTGTTTAGTCTAATGTGTCTGGCAGTTAGTGAGATCGCTTCTTAGTGTCTAACTTGTACTCGCTCGGGATAAAAGTTACTCGTACAAGCGACCATCGCCCGACCGCGCCTACGTAACGACTGACAAACTTCAGAACACTTTAATTAGTATTTGGTTCAGTTCTTAAGTCGCTGGCCGTTTGAAACGTGAGGCCGGAGGGAGGTTTCTGTCGAATAAGTTGATAGCTGTTTAAGTTATTTCAGCTTCATTGTTTATGAAAAAAAGTTTGGAGCAACGAAGAATGTGCTGGCTTCATTAAATGGGCCTGTGATGTAAAAGATTCGGGGAAAATTAACTTTTATGGAAACTTTTGTTAATATATTCGTCTTAAACTCAAAATGAACTGAAATGAGATTTTCAGTGACGTGACATCGAACGGGAATAAATAAAAATCGGAATATAAATATGAATAGGGAAACGTAGATGCTCCTAAGTATATTAGCTCCAAAGCTGACTACAAAATACAGCCTATTCGGGATTTCCTTGCAAAGCTGTTCTCAATACATGGCGTGGGGTAATAAGACGTCGATGGGCTATTATGATCGGGGGAGACGTTCGTGCCGCGTGGAGCCTCCGGGCTTCACGTCGAAACTTTTATGCATTCGGTTGAGATTGTAGGAAATGATCGTAGCGATAACAGTATGAAGGTACGCGACATTCAAATACCATTGTTTAGAGGAATCATAATTATAATAGAAGTTTATATTTGAAACAACCGATGGTGTACTTACTACTTTAAACTCTATCTTACAAAAACTAACTTGTCTGTTACAGTACAAGAGCTTGCGATTCGCGTGTTCCAAATCAATAAGGCTTTTTTCCTCAGTCAGTGTAATAGTGTCATGTTATTTTAGGAAGCCTTTTGTGGAACTGTTTTCTTATCTATCTTTAAGTGTTATTTATTTTGTTCTTTAATGAACTTCAAGTTACACTCACGCTGAGAATAAAAAGAGATTATAAATTATTTTACGGACTACCTCGTTTTAGAAGATGAGAGTTGAGGTCGTTTGATTCTCCAAGCAATTATTTATATTTTGGATTATAATAGGTTATTACTCAATCCATTAATTTTGTGTGTTTGTTTGTACCTCCTCCTTTATCTCCGAACAAGGCTGAAATGTTAACATTAGACACAGCGCTATAATTTCCTTTTTATTCACATAGAAGTAAACTATAATGTAAACTCAAAAACTATAGTGTTATTCCTCTGAAATAAAACCAAGGCAATAAACGACGTTGACAGCGTTTAACTGAAAATGAGCTCGCCGAGATTGTTATAATGTCGCCAAATTTAATCGAATAAGGTTCGCTCACATTTAACGAGGCGAAGACGACGGACGGAGCGGCCACGACGTTAATCTTCAGGTAAAATCAGTCGCCTAAAATTATATTTAACTAAACCGTGTACCGAATCAAAACGTAATAGGAAATTAATGGATTCAAACGTTTCTAGCGCGGAAATTGTTTTAATTTGAGATTTCAATTAAATATACATCGCTGTGATAGTTTTCTGAGATCTAATTCTGAAGAAATTCACAGTGTTTAAGAGCGGCCGAGTGCGGTCGGAGCGAGGCCGGCGTCTTCCAGAGACGAGTCGCTGTCTCTTTATTGCTCGCTTCAAATTATTTCCTCGACCTCCCGGCGAAGGATTTCCTACTTTGTGGGGACGTTTATCGGATTTTATTACGTAAATATTTTATGAGCAAATGAAACGAGGGTGCAATATAACATCTCCACGTCGGCGACCGTGCAAGCGACCACTGTATGATATAATAGGTATTTTGTTATGTTTTATAATATTATATATGAAGCGTAGGTAATGTTAAAGTACCGAGCAGCTAGCTGGTACACACTCAGTTAACATTGCCTGCAGTTGACCGTCCGTGAGAGGGCGCGTGTAATTTTCAGATTAGTTTGTCCAGCGGAGTCGAGCGTCGCCTCGCCACAAATATGCGGTCAATATTAATTCCCGTACGAGCAGGAGTGTTCTCTTGTAACTAACATTATTCTAAATACCTTCCCGACGTTATAATAATTTGTTTTAGAAGTTTCTAGAAAGATAATTCGACTCGTTTCCATTGACACTCGTATCTGAATATTGGTTGTAGTTATCCACGAACTTTTCAAGTTTCTGGTTCCTCTCAGTAAATATATAAAAATATTTAATTACAGTGAGTCTCCGCTGTTGGTATCAATCTTTATTTAAATCATGCAAATGACACTCGACTGTAAAACGGCTCTGTTTATTTTACAGGATAGGATAACGGTCGAACGCTTTTAAAAAACACTTTGTACATGAATGGATGGACAGGCGGCGGCCCGGCGATAGCATACATAGAGAACGCATTATATATATACTGCTTGGAGAGATAGTTTAGTAAAAATGTTGTAATTCATCTAACTGATACGATATGACTTAGGCGAAAATTAGAAAAGCGAAAAAATAATGAATACAATATGTTATTTAAAACTTCTTAAGTATTATATAAAGCTAAAATGTTTTTTAACCTTCTTGTGGTTTTTGTTCTTAGCATTCACACGAGGCATTGGAAGGAAGGGAGTAGATCCGGATCAAACTAAGCACTGGCCAGAACCAGCTTAGACGAGGGACTTTTAAAACAGACAAAATACTTAACTACTCTCACGACTATTGAACAATGTTGGACATCACGCCTCATTACACTAATATCTTAAATACACCAATATTGTGTTCCGCATAGTAGCACCTTAATTTACCATAAAATTTTATAAATATCACTACTTTACGCCTTTCTTCAGAATCCGTATCACTGATAGAAAATAAACCTTCCGATAGTAGATATTTTTATTTTATATACGGAATATGAAAATGTGTGCAATCGTAATAATATTATGGGCTCCCCTTTACCAGCTCCGATAAGCGTCTCATATAAAACTGAGATATAAAAGAGGTTATTTGGTTTCGCAGGCAATAAAGCGGTATTATTCCAGGACAATGAGAAATGCACTCGATTGTGACGCTCCTACAATATTTTGTTATGTCCGAGAATTAAAGCGATAGACTGAAACGGCAGACAAGCCGAAAACACGGCGGACCTCAAATATTAAAGATATTTTAATATAGTTTTGAAGAACCTACTTATCAGTATATTATTAAAGATAAGTTCTCGACTTGTAATAAATAGATAATAACTAAACAGCCAACCCCTTATTTGACAAGTAGGTAATGGTTAACAATGTGGAAGTTGGTCGGAAGGCGTCGTATTTAGGTAATCTTTGGAGCGCAACGAGCTCAGGAGGGGATTGTGGTGGACATTACAAAGAGGGCGACTGGAGCGTCTCGTTAGGAGACGGCTCTTCAGTTACAATAACTATATCCAATAGCATTGTTAGTTTACATTTAAAAGCTCCTAATTCTCTATTGCGATAACACTGCTGCGTCATGATAGCTTTGTTCACAAACAAATATTGAAATTTGATTCTTATTCGTTAATGACACATCAAAAATAAACCTAATTCATTGAATAATTAGTCAAATATATGACACATAGATGACATATTCTATTTCGATATACTAAACAATCAATTAACGATCAAAGACCCAATTGTCAAAACTTTAAAACAAACAGGATAGCTTCGTGCGATTTCCGACGGAATGAAAACAGAGCGAGCCGTGATTCTGTTAATCAATTTAAAGTTAACTTGCGAATAAAATGCCCAGCAATATCAATATCAATAACAGCACAAGCTATTAACTCCATCGGAGGGATTAAACCGTGCGTGTGTGGAGCGAGGTCAATTTGTGCAAATGCACATAAGGGAAGGTCTGCTTCTTAAATTCTTAAAACCATTCCAATGTCTCCTCTCACCTGGTCCTATTAAGACAGTGATTGTGGCAGAGTTTCAAAGTTAAACGATAATCTGAGCCATCGCGCCGTGAACGCTCGTAAACGTTATTTCGTCTGCGGACTTTATAAGTAGCGAGTGAGGCCGACGGAGTCTCCGCCTTTAGTATAACAGACTCATCTGCTTATAATAATTACATGTTCATTACACACGCTCCTTTAAACACAGCCAGAGATTAATTCCTTTTCACGACGATAATTTTTATATAATATATGCAACGATCATTTTCTCAGATAAAGGTATTATTTTTATCGTACAATCAGATCAGAAATCTTCACTTTTATTATTTATTAGATACGACATAGTATGAAATGATAAAAGTAATACTCGTCCGAGAACAAAAATAATTAAATTTTACGATAACTGAAGCGGCGCGGGCGAGGGACAATTACATGGAAACATGAAGCACTACGATATGTGCTTAGTTACAAGCACAAGACCGGACATAAATCACTGCAACAAAGGAAAATGACAGCTTTTCAGCAGTCATCCAGTAATGAAACAGACACGAGCCGGCTAGTCGGCCGGTCGGCTGTGAGGCTAGCCGGCTAGTCGAGCGGTCGACTGGTCGGACAGCCGGCTAGCCACTCCACACTCCACTCTACGCCTACCACGCACACTCGCCCTCGTTTTATTTTCACCCAGTGAACACTGTGTGCTTTACTTTAATGAGTATTTTAAATTGGTCCTCGTGCGTGCGCAAAATATATATTCTAACAAAGTGCAGTATCTGTCAGCGTTGTTTAAAGAATACTATGGACGAAAAAATAAATTAAACAGAATCTTTGTTTCATGTTTTATGATGTATCGTCTTTTAAGAGGGATTGCAATGAAAGAACTATGTCGAAAATCAACAAGAGTTGAAAGAATATTAATGATGACCAAATAATTTATTCTACATTTGATATTTATTTGAACATTTTCTGTTTACTTTTTAATGAGTTTTGATGATTTCAGAGACTTCATCCGCTTCGGGACCAATCAAACTTTTTCCTGTTTTTCGACTTCTTTACAAAATTAAGCGAAATCCTCATACTATATTAAACTCCGTAAACTATGTGTGTGTGTTTAATCTGATCTCGGTGTGGTAATTGGTAGAAGTAGCCCATATCCCATGTAGATGAGATACAATCGGTAGTTATGTCACAATATGGTAGGATGATTGATCGTGTTCGCCGTACATTCAGCTATTGTGACCACGTACTGCAGACTCGAGCCCGTCCACCGTAATGGACAGCGATGGACGGCTATGAACGGCACACAAGGATTTGGGGAATTTGTCATTTTGGCGATTAGCAATGTTGAGGTCTTTGAATATGATAATGTAGTTACAGCTCTTAGAGGCTATTAACGAGCGGAACAATGTCAGCTAGTTATATATTTGATACGTTATTTAAAAGGATAATTAAAAATATCCCAAGTGTAGACTTTGTTTGATAACAGAATTTTGATGTTTTAAAATCTTTAACAACATTTTTATTGTTTAAATTTTGAATCACAGATCACCGTCGCTTCTTGACCGATTGTAAAGTTTTCTTAGTTTTAAATTATTTTTTATTGTCACGATATCTATTATTAAGAAATTAATATAAACAATGTTTTTTGGATTATAATTATCGCTCTTTTAATTTTACCAAATTATCATTTTTGTTTACGCCATGGCACATTTGGGGCACGTTTAAGTATGCCCAATTTTTGTTATAATAAAATTAACAATAATTATTTTTTGACAAAACATAAATCAAAGAATCCATTCGCGTTTATTGCATGTGTTATTGTGTAATGAAAGATGAATTTAATATAGATGTAGCACTAAGAGAATGGACTGAGAAATCGAAATTATTGGAATTATTTAGTTTAATAATAAAGTTAAAATAATTTCTTAGTTTTAAATTATTTTTTATTTTCACTATTTTTGAATATCAAGAAATTAATTTAAATAAAGAATTTGGGATTATGATGAAGGCTCTTTTAATGTTATGAAATTATTATTATTTATTTACAATATGCCACCTATACTCCACGTTTAAGTATAGCAAAATATATATTTCCCTTTCGTATTATAATAGAGTTAACAATAATTATTTTTTGACAAAATATAAGTTAAAGATCTTTTCTCGTTTATTGCATATGTTATTGTGTAATGAAAGATGAATTTAATATAGATATACCTAACACAAAGAGAATGGACTGAAAAATTTTCATTTTTGGAGTTATTTCGTTAAGTAAAAAATAACGAGATTATGATGTATTAAGGCAAAAACCCTCAATGATGTTGAAAAATTGAAAACCAATGTAAAACACTTTCGAAAAAGATATTTATCAGGCATGGTGTTAGACCAGAGATGGTCAACTTTCAACCACAACTAATCAAATAAAGCAATGAGGTATGTAATATGAGCTGGGAAGAGCATTGTTTTAAATGAAATGTCTCTGCCGGGAACAAAAACTGACACAAAACTATCAGAACTGATGAACACAACAAGAGTGGTTCTTCATGACAAGCCTAGATCGCACACACATATTATAGACATAATTATTAGTCCTAATAGGAAGATATGATGTTAAGAAATCGTTGGCGGTAGGTGATACATAACAAAACCAAAGACAGACATTCACATCTCGTCTGTCCGTGATCACGGTTGCTGTAAAGTAGCCGAAACGTCGGGAGTATGTAGTTTTTTACAAAAATAAAGCACGCGTAGTATATCCGAAAAATATTAAATTCATTTAAAAGATATGCAGTGTTTGAATTTATTTGTGAACTTTTGTTATATTCATTCAGACGAAATTATTTGTAGTTCTTTATCAATAAATCTAGACACGTTGAGGACACTGAGATCATCACTTATTTATAATAATGAATGTTATTAAACTTATAAAATAACTTGTGAATGACTTTTAAATTGTTTACTTGTTTTTTCGACCGTATAAAGTAATACTAAAAGTTTCAAACATAAAACTCTTATTTTTTCACACAATGAAGTATTAATAATAATAATAATAATAATAATAATAATAATAATAATTTATTTCAGACCATATTGTAGATCCATATAGTGTTAGTACAAATTAAACTATAACAGTACATTTTTGAAATATTTAACTATTATTTTATTTGAAGTACCGTTAATATTATTAGATATTAATCAATTACTATAAAAAAGGATTCTTCAACTAATTATTGTTTATATATTATATAGTTGAACTGATTCATAAAATAACGCAAATTTGAATATACCCAATAATATACATCATTTGGATGTTAATTAATAATTGTATCGTAAAATCCATCTCCTTGTATATAGTTTAGTTAAGTTTAACTTCGTGCCGCGACTTTATCTGATATTTTGTTATTAAACTAAATATTTCTGTGGAATTTTCTCTTTAAGAGTAATCTGCCCAAGAAACTGTTGTAGTATATAAGAATGGAAGAAAAAGTTGGAGTTTGGAATCTGTTGTTTTTATGTTTTGTTTAAATTATGTGTTCGTGATGACTAAAGTGATGGACTGTCTCTCATGTTTGAGTTGTATGTACTTTGTAAGAGTATTTAGACACCACTGACAGACGGCGAAGGAAAACATCGTGAGGAAACTTGGACTTATAATTTCAGTTATAAGTTTTAAATCGTCAATCCGCCTTGAGTAAGTGTTGTGATTAATGTTCAAATCTTCTCCATGTGAGAAAGAGGCCTTACAGTAGTGGGTTCTGATAGGCTGATGACGATTTGTGTCTTGATAAATTTATTACGCATTAATATCAATATAGATTTAGCGGTTATATTAACATATGCAAAATATATGTTTGCACATAAATAAATACATATCATTATAAGCTTTTTGTTTTTTTAAGCTCCATTAGAAGAGACGTAGGTTTTAAAAAATATTTTGATAGAAATATCGTATTACAATAACCAATTATTTTTTTTGGCTAAGTAGTTAAAGAAAAAGAAATTACAAGATATATTTTTCTTATATGAGAAAAGTAATCGGTATGAAGTCAATATATTGAATCAATTAAAACCTAAATAAAGACTGTTTGAGAACAACTTCCTCTGCGTATTACGGATCCTTTGAAGATGAGTATTCAATAAGAATTTAATATGACGGATCACAAACAAATGAGAACCCTTCACGACGTAAAAAACTTTGCACATTTTCCTTTTAAACATACATTTTATTGACGAAGATATTAAAAATATAACATAGGTCTAGTAATATCTATTGCTCTTCAACCGTTTCTGATTTATCACAAGTCCGTCGCTAGTAGTGACCGCAACTTTCATCCTGGTCCAGAGATCTCGTCTTTCGGATGCTGGGAGTCATCTTAAGTACATCTTTCCGTATTTTCATTATACATCGATTAATAAAGTGACTTGCAACCCGGCCACATACCGACGGAATAAGCTTTATGTTTATTAACTTTACAATTATATAATATAATTTGTGGTGTCAGATCTCAGATTTCTTTAAAATATATATGTTTAATTTTCTGACCCATGAAGATTTACTGCTTAAGAAAAAATGTGACCTAATTTTAATATTTATTTTTCTCATTCAATAAAATCATTTAGCAAAAATTTTCTTATTCTAATTCGCAAAAATATTTTCCATTTAACATCTCCTTGTTAATTATAAAACGTTCGTTTTAATTATAAAACGTTTATGATTACGTTAACAAAATTGTTATAAACTATCGTTTAACGTCCTTAAATTAATCAAATAAAAGTTAACGCTGTTACGAAGTTTTCTCTTTTAAATAAATCAAGAACGCGGAGGAAAATGTTTTTCCTCTTTTACATTTACTATTCAGTTCGATTCGTTGAAGAGATTAAATAAATTCAGGAATATTAAGAGTAGATTGCTTTTTAATTAAATAAAATGTTCACTTACCGCCGGGAGGTACAGCGGCTGCGTCGAGCGTCAGGCGAGGGCTGGGGCTGTTCTGCACGACCGCTCTCTTCAACCCCGCGGTCACAACTGATGTGAGATGTTCCATCGTGCAAACTTCCCTCGTCCGCGTCATCACTCACCCCCCAACAAGCCGACCAATCACAGCCTCAGCTACCCTCGCAGCCTCCCGACTATTCACGAACTCTCCCGAGCTCCAGGGGTGGTGATTGGAGCTTTTAATCTGAAACGTAAATGCATACAAAAAGAAAACGAGCGAGCGGTAAACTTCCGTACACGGGATGCTGGCAACGAGATCGAGCAACAGGTAAAGACTTCACACTCGATGTTCCTGTAGAGACTACAGACGTACTAAGAGAATGGCTCGAGAACACGCGACATACGTACATGTGAACCAATTATAAAACAGCCTCATTACATATCAAATAAGTTGACATTTAAGAGAAAAAATATTATTACAATAAATATCCGTAATGGTATTCTTTATCGATGCTTATTGAACGATCGCTGTTTTTGTTTTTCCGATTAAAAAGTTCAGTTAAAAGCTGATCGTCTGCCCGCCGCCGCGTCCGTTGGGGAATATCACAATGAACATATTGCAGCCGTTAAATTTTATTTTAACATTAAAATAAATTGGAAGGTCTCTGTAAGTCGATCTGATCACGTGCACCGCAAACTCCGAGCACGTTCTTGGTCTGAAATCCTTTCGATCGTTTGGTTAGCCGGACCTGTACGTCGTGTGCTACCTACTCGTACCAGGATGAGTTGTTTAATTGTTGACCACACACAGGCGGCCGTCGTAATCTAAGCTGTAAACTAAGTCTTGGTCCCGCACCGTCTCAATGCCCCATGACCCGAGTAAGCCGGGCTCACTCCTCGTTCCTCGCTCTCTGCTCTGTTCTGCCGACCACGAATTAGTATGCGTGCCCCATACAATACGCCGGTACGTCCCCATGGATCCTGGCGTACTATTCTCTCTCATACGATATATTTGGCACTACCTACACTACAATATTAATTAACTATAAACAATACTTTTCAATAAAGTGTAAGTTTTGTGTTATAAATGTAATTGATTGATTTAAATAAATTAATAGATGCCGTCATTGAATTCAAAAATGATCAATAAAGAACGTCCTCATCTACGTATTTAGAGTTATAATAAATATATTTTTCAGTATATTGTTAATAAGTGTGATGTTTTATTATGGAGTTGTATTTTATCAGACGGCCAGACGGTAATGAAGGGTCCCGGAATAGTCCCCCGGCACGGTTCAATTTGTAAGTGGGATCTTGGGATAGGTTCATTTTGTGTATTACAGAACTGGAGCGCAATGATTCCGCCGCAGATTTATGTAAATATGGATTCAAATATATATATTTGTGTGAATAAATATTGTGCTGCTTTCACGGATAATGGAGCGCCGCTCTCCAACAATAACCGAGTGTATTCACTTGTTATTGGAACTTACTATCAAATATTATATTTATTCTTTGGAAGTTCTCAGTTTCATAGTAACAAATTTAAAATGTGTTCCCTCATACAACGTTCATGCAATATAATTAATTGATATATATGTATTGTTCTTTAATTTTAATTTATGTTCAAGACAAATGTAAGGCTATAATCAGTGGTGGTCTAGTGGTTAAAAGTTCCCTCTCTCATGCACGAGGGTGCGGGTTTGATCCGGGCCCGGGCAAGTACCAATGTGATTTTTCCGAGTCATATGCACTTTCTAAGAGTATTTAGACATCACTGATTAATGTATTCCCAAAAGAGGGTTGATGCCAGACGGGCGGCCGGTCGTAAAAAAACAATTAGCCAAAACTATACACAACATGTAAGGCTTTGTCAATATAAAAATGTTGTCCTAGAAGAGTTCGCCTTTCTGAAGAACTCGTTAGATGAGACAAGACATTACAGAAATGGTCAAGTCGTTTGTTCATCACCTTCTCATACTATATATTTCTTATAATTTAAATCACATGTTTCTCTTGTTAAAACATTATCGACTTATTTGATTTTCATATAGTTTCAAATGTGATATGAATATTTTTAAAAAGAAATCAATTTTATTGAATATACTTTTGATTGGTCTAATATATTGCAAATGAAAAATATTTATAAATTGTTTTATTTTTATTAAAATTAACATTAAATTCTGCTTTATTAGTTTGGTTGTATATTGAGTCTCCTAGACGTATGATAGTGTTGTTAGGTCGGTACCTGGCAGGGTGCAGGCTCGGGGGGCGAGATGTAGGCTTGATTTCCAACCATATACCATATATATTATAAACCTATTTTGTGAAATTTACTGACGCTCTTTTACAATATAATTTGGTTATTAATAACGTTGCAACGAATGTGTCTAAATAAACTTAAGCCATTTCCAGTGTATGTATCTGTATGTTCATTTAAAGTGTAGTAAATTAAAGCAAAGTCAGTTCAGTTATTATATTTAAAAATAAGGAAAACCCATACATACATACCCATCTGAAAATCAGTGCTGTGTGCATTAGCACAGCTTATACTGAGATGGACCCCCTTGCTACAAATTTATTTATTTTTTCTTCTGTATGACTGTATAATATATGTAATGTATGTGTGTATCAAAAAATAAAAATAAATAAATAAATATTTTACAATAAGCTCAACGATACAGCGAGAGCGGTCGAGTAGTTGATTGTAGTTAACATGATAATATAATATTAAAAACTTAGTGATTGTGTTTAGACATGATGTTTATAGACGTGGGGGATGTTGAGTGCGGTGTGGTGGGGCACAGAAACACTTAATAGAAGGTTGGAAGTTATCGAGCAGGGCTGAAGGCGGTGTGCCCTGCTGCCGCGTTCACAGGCATTGAACAGTTAGAATGAGACTCAAACTACACAGGTAGTCCTTTGAAACGTTGTTGTATTAAAATAAACTAGAAAACAATGAATTCAAAAGATTTTACGACTATATTTTTGTTTACTTTTGTATTATTCAAAGTTCAAATTTGTTGAAGGAGCCGTTCAACAATGTTGACGTAGAAGTTAATGTAGAATTCTTACGGTGACATAGAATTCGTTGCAATAAAGTGAAAATTTTAAACACATGTATTACAACAAAATTGACACAAAAGTGACATATAAAAATTTCGTTAGATTAAGGAATTTAATAGTCGGCTATAGGGAAGATATAGTAATAATATTTTTCGAGTGTTTTTCTGTATATATATTATTAAATGTTAGTATAGTCGAGTGTAGTGGTGCGTCAGGAGGGTCCCGGGAGCGGCCGGAAGCTCCGTTAAAGGCATTATTATCCGGACGGTCGCGCTGCAAATAAATCGTCTGCGAGCCGGTCTTTCGATTATCCTCAAATCTTCATTACGCCGACATATTCTCTCATCTTGCACAACCTCCATACTTCTATTTGTTCCTACATCATACTCATACGTTACTGTAACGGAGAGCACGTCATACTATTACTGTAACACCTAACAGTCTCACTTTAAGGTATTGTTTTAAAATCACAATCAATACTAACTGTTGTGCAGAATATCGATTTTTGTTAAAATATTTCAGAATTATTTTCGCACATTGTAAAAACCGCATTCGTATTTCAATTAATTTAATTAAAGCCAGCAATTAGAGGATCATCGTCGGCGTGAAATAATAAACACGGAAGATTAACGAACGACAAAACGGGAATTAAAACATACAAGATTTATTTTATTGTAAAATATGTTAACGCTGATGAGAAGCGATGAAAGACAACGTGTTTTCCTATGAAAGCTTTCGTTAGAGCCTCGTCTCCAACGGGAGTATGTAACTCCTAAGTGAATCTCCTAAGTTAGTCCACATGCTCGTGACGTGGGAACACTGTTCGGACCCGCCTGCAACTTGACCGAGTCCTCTAATGTGTTTGAGTTTTATTTAAATTGTGTCGCCACCGACCGCCCACACAGGATATTGATTTACCGAGACCAATAGATAGCGCTGGTGCAACGAAATACAGCGAGCTCCGTACTCTGTTGTGGCTAATTAAATTTGACGAGCGTCGCCGATGTAGCGAACAGATTTTGATATACAATTATATTACAGTTACATACTCGACAACAACGAAAACAACGAAAAAACTTTGCTACATATACTCGTCTTCTTCCTGGCAATTTCCCAGCTTTAGTCAGGGTCTGCCTGCCTTTGCTACATGTACAATCATGAGTATAATGTATAATGATGATCAATCCTAGTGTTCATTGTGTATATAATTGAATGAGTGTGACGTGAAGCAGCCTCTGTGAAGTGTTGTGAGTGTTTGGTATTAATAACATCACAGAGATGCATCCCATGCTGAATGATTCCTATCAGTTGGACATTACGAGGACGATTAGCGAGCCGTGGAGCCGACACACTACTCCAAAAATATTATACTCAACTCCAGTTGGACATTCACACATATTAAAAAATAACGAGAAGGGAGAACCAGTCAAATTATTATTGTATTTACTGTTACATACGAGTATGTATATCTTAAATGTATGTTTTTCGTTTGAATTATTATTAATAAATGTTGTATTTATTATCAATATCAATATTAAGAGTGGATCAAAGTGAGAGCTTCAAAGTGTCATTGACCCCGTGTAATAGGTATACAGTACAGTAACATATAAAGGGTTATAATAATCGTCGGGTTGTTTGTTCTGTGTCCGTGTCGGTGGGAGCGGGGAGCGGGGAGCGGGCGCGATCCTCACACTCGAGAGATCATCTGAAAGTGTACCACTTAATAACTCGCAGCATCCCTCGGTTCAGTGAGCGTTCGCTGGATCGTCACATATCTCTAAATATGACCGTCGGAGCGTGCTCCGCCTCGCCGCCCAGATTAGCGCAGGCCGGTACAGCCTCGCTTTCATAATGAGCACACTCGCTCTCTAATAACATTGATCCACTCTCATCATCGACATCTGAGTCGCGAGCTCGGGCTTTGATGGCATCACAGGGGTAGGGGCATGTGATTTAGACCTTCTCAACCACACCTGTCCATATACCGCCGTAATACATAAGTCTGGAGCATGTTTTATATAATCAGATTATATTCTTACGAGTAGAGTGGTATGTTTTCTAAGGTCTCAGGTCGTTTTTAGCGACAGTAAACTACAGGGAACTATTGAACAGTTTAATAATATTCATTGAGTTGGGGCAATTTTCCGGGCGAGCGGCGACGCGTCTTTGATCAGCTACGGCCGGCCCGAGAAGTCAAATTGACGAAGCAACTATACCTTAACGAGACCTGGCGGTCGTCTTGTTGGAACAGATTTGTTTTGATTTTATTTATGAAAATACTAAAAGAGATAATAATATTAAAAAATAATTATAATACATTTTAAATTGTTTTAACGACAGAAATGTTATACTAGTTTAGGAACAGGTGATGTTTGTGCATAGACATTGTCAAATGTTTCGAAAAACAGGTTGAGTTACTTTTAATTGAACCTCAATCAAGTGACAAGAAGACTCAGTTTTAGGTTTAAGGAAATCTTTGCATGATTTTTATAATAAAATAACAGCAAAACTATATTGTGTGACCATTATCACGCCCGACTGACTCACATGGTGGTGGTCATCTTATAGTGACCATAACGTGCATTCTTGTGTAAAAATTTGCAAATATATTTGTAAATTTGTTTTCAAAAATCCTCAGTCAGAAACAAATACAAAATAAATTTATAACAAATATAAATATAATTGAATATCAAAAGTTTGATTCCACATGCGAATATATGTATATATCTCCCTACTAATATTATAAATGCGAAAGTAACTCTGTCTGTCTGTCTGTTACGCTTTCACGCCTAAACCACTGAACTGATTTTAATGAAATTTGGTACACAGATAGAGTTGACCTTGGAAAAGAACATAGGTAATTTTTTGTACCAGACTTTTGAAAGGTTCTCTTGGAAACGCGATATAACCGAACTCCACGCGGGCGAATCTGCGGGCGGAAAGCTAGTATGTTATAAATTATCGAAATACATTACAAAAAAAATTCTAATCAGAGAAAATGTTTACAATTAAAACTCTTTAAATGACCAGTCGTTTACATCAAAGCTTACATTAATATGCCGAGAGTATTTTCTATATAATTTCCTATCCATCGATTTGATACTACTCCAGACAGAATCTTAATTTCCACACGCGACAAGTAACAAGAGTGTATTGGATATAAATCATAAACAGCGTGTAAGTAATTAAACAGAAGAGTGATCATGAACCGAGCGAGGTTGAGCGACACGACTCACTGGCTCTCAAAGAGAATTTAAAACGGGCTCAGCGTGACGCCTCTAAGACATTTTACATACTTAAGAAACTTGTTTTTTATCACTTATCACAAATACAACTAAGTTCGAACATGAACATATATGTATATTGAATCTGCGGCGGAAAATGACGAACTTTATCTAAACCACAGCGTGAGGAGGGTGAGTAAATGTAATTTTTCAATGTTTTCCTGAGTGTTGTCTTTACATCGAAAAGGAAACTCTATCAAGCTACAACTTGTAACACGTCATTGAGTAAGTGTTTGTGAGTTTGTGTAATACTTACTATTGGAGCGTGAACAGGGAATTGATTGGCTTTTCACGTCACTCAGTAACCGAGGAGTGTGTTGTGAAGAGTTCTCTGTAGTAACACATGGCTTATTGTCCGTGAAGTTGACACGACGGCTTCTCCTACTTCCAGGCCTGCTCTTCCAGTTGATTTGTATCGTTTTCTATAGTTCCCGGTGAACGAGTGAACTCAAACAACATCTGCCTATACTCTAATATTGTATTTTAGTTGCACGTTCAGTGTACATGTTATAATCGCGTGTGTTGGTACATGAATGTGACAACAAAGCCCGCGGGCAGGGTCGCGCCCTTCCGGCGAGCTACCACCGTGACCGTTGATGTACCATGCTCTGATAAATGACTATGAACACACGTATCAAACCATTAGGTACACTCGTACTAATATTTTAGATATATTCTGTGGGTTAGTTAGCACACGATGGTACGAAGAACCTATTACTTCTCCAGGAACAGGATAAAAAATCAATACCTTCTTCATAATACTTTGCCAATAAAATTGAGAATCGTTTCATTGAAGTTCACAATACTGTTTCATAAATGAGATTATTATTTAATATTAATACTTTACTAGTTCTAAACATGATTAAAAATATCTCAGTATCTTAGAAACAGTAATGATGCAATCAGTCACATAGATATAAAATTGAGAAAATTCATCAATGTGGAAATTTTGTTGAAGATTATTACGAAAATAAATAAAAGTTTTATTTTTGTTTAAATTTAATTTGTTATAGTAATATTTTAAATCAGCGGTAAAAGGAAAAACAATGCTACAATTCCCAACTTTAAAATAATATTACATTCAGCGGTTTTGACTTTATTTGTAACAATTTATTTATCAAAAAGATAACGAAATTTTTCATTGATTAATTATTGATAAAATATAATAAGAATGTCGTATTAATTTTTCTTAGCATTTTTAAATATATTCACTCAAATATGAGAAATGAAATCAATGATTTTTTAAAATTTTAAGCTATAGAATTAAGCTATAGAATGAATACCTTGGTACTATCGAATGCCCAAAATATTATGATTAAAAAATATTATAAATTAACTATTTTTAGTGCTTAGAAGCGGGTATTGTAAATGTGTTTGTCTTATATCTTGAATTTTGTAAATGTGTCTTGAATCTTTCAATCTGTTGTGTCATCTGAGGTAAAGAGTGAGCTCCGACCACTACAGTTGTAAACACAAGAGTAATGTAACTCCGCCAATTATTCCGTCGCATTGTTCGCCAATAAATGTATTAAGCTAATTATAAAATTGTCATACAATTAATGGACACGGCTATTATTTTAATAAAGGCCAGCTAATGGACAGTGGCCACCTTTTATTTTAAAATGTTTTCCATTTTCCCCGTCCCGCCGAGCCGTGGCTCCACACTCCCGTACACTCGTTCTCTTTGCAACATTATTTTAAAACAATTTTGCGTCGATACAACTAAATGGAAACTGTACATTAATATCGGAATCTTTGGATCGGTTACTATATAAAAATAATCATAAATGTATGTACTGCCTACTAATATAATATTATTTGTTCCTCTACTCGTCAGAGTCAGAGTCAGCTTCTGTCCCAGTTTCGACAGATCGTTGTATGATTTGCGTACCTTTTATCGAACGTCATTCGGCTGCTCAAATTTTGTCAATTCAACGCAGCGGTTGTATGGAGAAGATCGGAAACAATTAGACAACTGTGGCATTGGCCAGCCGAGCGCATATCCGTACTCGCTTTCTGCCCTAGTGGTGTACTGAGGCTCGCCCGGGCTTGTAGATCGACCTTATTACTATTGTAATAAAGATCAAATTACACACAAATCTGATAAATTAAAACATTGTGTGCACTTTACATTTTAAATCAAATAGTTACATTATACATATGTACCATTCAAAATATTTAGATTTTTGTATTGTTCCTGTTCTACTCAAATTTCTGTTGCATGTTATATTGAAGTTGGTTTCATATTAAAAGAATCTATGATTTTATTTTTTATATATTAGAATACTTTCGAGGTAGGGAACTACTTATTTATTAATATTACACATTCAAATCTACTCATAAAAAGTTGATAAAATCAATCAAAATATAGCAATCTGTTTACAAGGACATATCTTTATAGAAAAATAAGCATATTTTTTTATATGAGCCAGCTCTATAGTTAAAATCCCTAGTTTCATTGCTTCAAAGTTAATACAAGTAGGTGAATAGTTTGAACATTGATACAACATATTAATATGAAGTTCATAATGTTTTGTAAATATCATTAACGTAGGAGCGTGTAGTTAGTCGTAGGAAGGTATGGTGACGCAGACACGGCTCCTAACTAGTTTGTATCTAGGTTGCTGAGTGCACCGGCGAGTACTTAACCTAATATTCGGTAATTGCATTAAAGGGCACCAGAATTAATTAACTGCCTCTCCGAGTTGGTTAGCTAAGACGTATCGATACGTGCTCTGTGTGCATCCGCTGTACGTATTGGGGTGACGAACTAGCATACAACATCTGTATATACGACGGAGACTTAATTAAACACGCCCTTTGTTTGTATTACTATGTCTTATTTTATTACTATATATATTGCATATTATACTACACTTAAAAATAACTTATGACTATGTATTATAATTCTATTGACTGTTTAATAAATAATCTAGACATATTCATTATTTATAAATGGCATCAGTGCTCGGAGCCGGGTTTGTAAGCTGCGTCCCATATGTCCGCAAAACATACACTGGAGTGAAAACGATAGAACATGATGAGAGGGAGGCTGATGTGGCCCAGGATGCTCCACAAAACCTTGCCGTAGAACTCGTATCTCTCGTCTAAACTGTCAGGTGATTTGTAGGAGAATGTGTTGAACAGCCACACCGCGACATTAGCTATGACGAGGAACATCATCATCTCCCGAGCTGGCTTCCTTCGGCGCAGCTTGCGACTGTTGCTGCAGCGACGAAGACCGTCCACCAGGAGCGCTGTCTGGATGACAACTTGAACCACCTGAAAATAAACCATCATATATTAAATCTTCTCAACTATATCAGCAAAGTTATTTCTTTTCATACACTCAGAGGTATTGTTACTAGTTCTTAGGCTTATTGACCGTCACTTATCAATAATGCGTTGCATTTTCGTATTCATTAAGTACTAATACTAATATTTACTGTTCTGCTATTTATATTAGTACCAACATTTACTAACTACTAAAAAAAGTATTTAGTCATCACTGATTAATGCTTTCCCAAAGAGGGTTGATGTCAGGCGGCCGGTCGTAAAAACAATTAGCCGAAACTATTTACAACATGTAAGGCAGACCCTGGCTAAAGCTGGGAAATTGACAGGAAGAAGAAGATTTACTAACCATGACCATGACGTCTATTGATCTGATGATGTTCACGATGCTCAAAGTAGCCACCATCGAGAACACGGTCTCCATGAAGAAAGCCGGGAGACATATGAAGAGAAGTATGTCATCCAAGAGGGAGATGGGATGTTCGTTGATGTCCAGTTTTCTGGTCTGACTGAAAGCTACCACAGTAGCTACCAGCAGCACAGAATGGAGGGCCAGCTTAGTGCAAGAGCTCAAAAGATAACCTCTCTCTAAGAACTCGCTGAAATAGATATCAAAATAGATTTAAAGGAAAATAAATCTAAAAAAAGCAAATGTGATGTGAAAGTGAAAACAATTTAGACAGAACTTTCAACACATTTTCTTTGTGAACATTATTGAAACATGAAAAATCTAAATAATTTAAATAAAACTAATATTTTTGGAAGCATTAGGCGTTATTTTATTATTTTAAAACTACATAGTCTCAACGTTTTGGTTACTTTGCAGCAACCGTGATCACGGGAAGACAAGATGAGATTTCATCTATAAATAATAAAATAAAATCTAACTCTTATTTAAATGAGTACTAGCGATAGTCTTAGATCTCATTAACCCAAATAATATTTTCAGTATTGATAATTCCATTAATATCATCAGAACAGGAACAAATTGTAACGGAATTAAGAGAATCATGATAAATAAGTTACTTGTCAATGGTGCTGAAGATGAATCCAAGTATAAGCATCCCAGCCATGACGACCGTCAGTATGAGACCAAGGAACATGCCCTTGTTGGAGGCGTGACAGTCCGCATATATCACCATGTTACTGGTGAAGTCGTTTTCTTCATCAGCCGTTGGAATTCTATAAGGTAAGGATATACATATATATAGGTTAGCCGTTTACTCATTGATACAGTGGGAAAAAGATGGAAGATACATTAAGGATGGTTTACTTAAAGAGCTTTTATGTAGGTCTCGCTATATGATAGTGTAAATATTTTTAATATTAACTAACTTTGATATTTTAATAAAGACTGTATAGAGATTTACAAGTAATGAGATAAAGCTAATAATCTTTATATGTAAAAGAAAATTGTGCTAGTTGCACTATTTATAACTCAAGAACGGCTGTACGAATTTGGCTGAAAATTGGTGGAGAATTAGAAAGGACATAGAATACTTTTCATCCGATTGGAAAATAAAAAAATAAAATAAGTTTATGAAATCTAAAATCTTATCTACTATCTTTAAGAAGGAATAGACTTCGCCTGGCAGCCATACATTTCTAATTCTGTAACTAACGTAAATGAAGACGCGGTCAAAAAACTAGTAATTTTTTATATAACATTATATAATATTGCCATACTTGCAGATCGTTGTGTTGTCATCAATGCTGGAATCGTTGTCTGAATCTTCGTTGGGACATTTCCCAATCTGGCTCCAGATGATGTAGTATACGGCGACTGGAAATACATACAAAAATATATTATACAAAAATTAGGAGACATTTAATATCAATCTTCTTTATTATTAAAAGTATCGAAAAGAAGTATGATTCTCAAGTTTGGAAACCACTTCTTTCAAAGAAAAACCGTTTATATAAAAAGATAAACGAAAATATGTACTCTTTCATAGTAAATTATGATTAAAATAGTAGTATACTTACCAATGAGAATATTGAACTCAACTCCAAACGGATATAGATATGGAGAAAAGTTTTCTATGATCCTACTGATAGTTGCCGAGCCTTGACACTCCGGTCGGTAGAGGTCGCTGATGTCTATGTGTGGTGTCACTTGGTCTGTGGAGACGTGAACATGTTCATGTAATAATCCTTATTTATAACATACATTACAGTTAAATACAAAATTTACTCTCTCATAAAATGAATTCTTTATATCTTTTTTATTTCCTTGTGTAGAAAAAGTTCGGATAATGATCAAAAACTTATAATTAAAATTAAGTTTTACGATAAATAATAATATTTCATACATTCGCTCCCTGTCATAGGACCATTTTCAGTTTTATTCCCGTATTTCGAATTTGCATATATTGTTAACGCCAGTAGAATTTCACGCACAATGGTCGATATCCAAAAGCAGAGACTGCTCCCGATCATATGCATGAAACCGAAGTAAGCCAAGTTCTGTAAATATAAAGCATCGTTTAATGGATTCATATATAAACGAGAGGAATTCAAATGAAACTAACATTTTCGGATTTACTACTCGTTTTTTTATTTTTGACTATAAACTACATACTCCCGACGTTTCGGCTACTTTTCAGCAACCGTGATCACGGGCAGACGAGGTGAGAGTGTCTGTCAGTCGATCTTGTTATTTTATCACTTACAGCCATCAATTTCTTAAGAAATTTCTTAACGTTTTAGTAGTCGAAACGGCGGGAAAATGTAGTTTGTAGTCAAAAATAAAAAAAATCGCGCAGTACATCCGAAAAATATTAGTTTCATTTAAATGAGTACTCGCGAAAATCTTAGATCTCATTACGACAGGAATTCACTAAAGAAAGTACAATTAATATTAAAGTTTCCGTACATACCTGACCTTTTATAATGAGCACGTTTGAATACTTAAATATGAAGAACAATTGAAGGAAGCAGTAGATGGGTTGGCAGAAGTCCAGTACCACTTGCATTATGTCGATACATTTCTCATTGGATATGTTATTGTCAAAGAAGTAACTGATTTGTGTTGTTATGAGTAGCACCGAGTGGATTAAATGGCCCACGGCGAACGCTGCAAGGAAATGTACGTGCATTGAATAGTATGAAACAGATTCACTACAAACATAAGGATGATTTTAACAGTAAAAGTTACTACAAGATATGAAAATGATATACATATATGGTCTACTCGTATCTATGATAAAATTTAATTATGATTTGATTGAAAGATTAGTAGAGTTCATTTAATACGTTCAGAATTAAAACTATTTTTTACCTTAGTCATAATAAATACTAAATGATTGGTCTTAAAAAAGGCATTTAGTATTTTTTTGTGGAACGCGAAAAACAATAATATTTTATCGATATGATAAAGTAATAATCATTCATTTAAAGCGTTAAATGTGACATTTTCTGATAAGCATAAACGCTAAGTAACATGTTACTGTGTATGACCTATATATAAAGACGTGGTCAGAATGAGTTGAGAAAGAGATCGACTAAAGGAATTAGTTCAAAAACACGTATTAGAAGGGTTCAACAAAAGTGTAACCAGTATTAAATTTTAGAGAAACTAACAGACGAATGCTGATCAATCATATTCGACTCAAATTTGCATATAATAATCAATAAAATATATCTGTTTAATTCTTTTATACTACTCGATAAAAATTCATTAAATAATGAACTAAATTCAGCAGTAGATATAAAATATTTGAGGCTTTACCAAGTAGTCTTGTTGTTTTAATAGAGGAGTTTAGCTTGTCTTACCCGCAGCACCCATCTTTAGGTAGAAACTGCCGGAGTGTCTTCCACTACTGAAGCAGTAGCTGTGACTGACTGGGATCAGTACAGCTGGTGGAATAGCTTTCGACCTGACACTGTCTCCAGGTCGCTCTGATATACTACCAGCTTGACCCTCCTCCTGACACGTGAAGTTATTTTTAGAGACGTGAAGTTATTTTCACGAAATATTTACATACATAATATGTTTGTATTGAACATCAAGTTTCATTAATTTGTGTTGATTTAATTATGAGTATGACTGACATTATAAACTGAGATTTTATATATTTTTAGATTAATACTATGACTGATTGTTAAATTTCATATAAATCTTTACGGCGCTTTATTGTCTCATCATGCTCTCATGTCTTTACTGATCTTTCATATATTTTATAAGCTAGTATTATGTTACAATATATTTTTAATCAAACCCACCTCCTGTTTCCTGAAGAACTCCTGCAGCTTCTCGTTGTGAATCCACTTGATCTTTTGGTTTTTTAACACGTTAGATTTGTATTTCGTTATGTCTATTAATAAATAGATTTGATACAAAAAACCGATCACCAGTAATACCATTGAGTATATCTGTGAAAAATTATATTAGTTTTAATTTGAATTTAAAATGTTTTTCTTGAAGTATACCAAGTGCAAAGATTTTAAACTTACCGGAGAGGCATTGAAATCGACAAAGGGTTCTGTCGCGTATACGATAAGTCCGACCGTCACCAATAGAACAGCGTACATACAACTTAATATTAAACACAGATATTTACTGAAAGAAAAAGTGCAATATTAACATTATACCTCATTCAACCCAAGAATCTTACAAATTACGGTAAAACAATGATCACGTTTGAAGGTGCCAAACTGTATAATAAACTACCCACACTTATAAAAAATGTAAACTCATTTAACGTATTTAAAAAAGAACTTGCTGAGTATATTTTAAATAATAAATAATTAAAACTAATACAATACGTTAAATTAGTAATTAATATAGAAAAATGTCTCTGAGTTAAGCGTTATTTCATTTCATTGTTGTTACGACTGTAATGTCGAACTGTAGGTATATTCATAAATGTTTTGTTGTAAGTGTAATTCTCATTCTCATGTCTTAATGGGAATAAATATCTTAAATCACACATCTATTTATAACTTTTAATCAAAAGACTGAGTAAAGGAGGTATTATGTTTCAGTGACTGCCTCAGTCCTTACGTTGAGAGGCGTGCATTATCCTCGGGGCTGGTAGAGGGAGGTGCCTGGGTCTCAACTGAACGGATGGACTGAGCATCCATCGTCGTGACTGAACGCTTGCGAGGAGTACCACTACCCACTTGAGTGTTCAGACGGTAGCTACCTGCATCACAAATAGGAGGGTAAGTGATCAAGTTCGAGAAATGGCTACACATTACATTGTAGAATAAATATAACTCACTGAGAGATTTGATGTCTCCGTTTTTGTAATTGTTGTGAGGGAAGAAAAAGTTTGTAGGGCTGCCGTCTGTAATGAGATAAAGTGTCACACTTATTTATCTATTTTAAATGATTTCTCTTTGTATTAATTCAAGTCAACTTACTCGAAGGTGAGGGAGTGAAGTAGTAATCATCTCTGTTTGTCATAAACATTTTCGGCAGTCGCTCCGATGAATCCTGAATCAAATGCATCATAATATGAGTATCGGAATACGATCTTCGATATTGTGAATTAAGCGGTAGCTAAAAATGCTGCATGGAAATCGAAAGCCGTATAAAATCGGATTAATAACTTCATTAGTCGCATGTTTCTCTCGATCGACGCCGCCCTGTATTTCACTATAATCCCATTAGGGCCGCTCCACGTTCTCGGTGGCATTTTTTTTGGGCCGATCGTGTTCAGTTCCAGCGGCAGTCATGCAAACGTTAAACTTAAATAACTCGCCTCCGACACAAACACATTGACGGTGCTTTAGTCGCGGCGTATCTATTGTATCGGTGGAAACAATGTTACGGGATCACAGCTTTCATAAAAATATTTGAATATTTTTGAACTGGTAATGTAATCATCGTTTTCGTTGGTATAAATTATTAAATTTCGTTTCATATAATATTCGTAATGTTCGCACGTCTTGTCGAAGGCTACATGTTAATCTCGCGTTATTTACGATAATCTTTGCTAAATCCCCGCATTTATTATAATTATCAATCGCATTCACGTGTGTGAGGTGTGATCAGTGAGACTCGTCGGAGGGAGACGCGCCCATTAATGAATGTCTTTGTATTGACCGTTTATGTTGGCCGGTTAGCGGCGCAGGGAAAAAGGTATACATTGAATTTTCATTAGGTGAGGCGTTCGGGCGGCACGAGGTCCGCCCCGTATTGACCGGGAGGGGGTCGGAGGCTCGCGGCCCGCTGGACTCCAAAGGTTTACAGTCCGGTGCGCGGGAGTGACCCGCCACCTCGCACGCTCACACTACGAGTACACCTCTACCCGCTCTTTACAGACGTATACAGACGCTTCTTTTGTTTTTATTCTTTAACCTTTATTCATAGCAGCTGGTTCTGTTTTATATTATGATTTGAACTCTTTTTTAATTAGATTACAATATGAAAGTTAATTTAAATTTCTATACTAACTAATGTATGGTACAGATAAAGTGTTAGCTCGTGTTATTGAAGGAGACGTGTCCACATAATTCTTTCGATACTATCATTACGGTTCATTGCGTTCATTTAAATGAATTTGTTGTACAAACAGCGACCGCTTTAAATAAAATGTACTTCTAAATTAATATGTTTTTATTCGTTAACGAGGCGATGTTGAGCAATGACCTCAGGTGACGTCTAATGACTCAAAGAATGTTGTAGGTAGCTTAAGATTACATCGCATCAAAATCTGCTTAAGCATGCTTAATTTGATATAATAAATATTTAAAATTATACTTGTTTTTTTTTTTGTACAAATATTATTAATATTATTACTCTTCAATTTTGTTTCAGTTATTCAGAATCTACAAAGTACTTTAAGCATGAAGGAGATTGGTTTTTGGGTTTGCGCATCTACCACGAGCTCGCATTTTCAAACAAGACTGATAATATCCAGATTTTTCTTCATAAATCCTCCGACCGTATAATAGTATGAAGTGTCCACGTTAGATTTGATGGGAGAATCAAAACATGTTAGTATTAAGTTTTTTTAAACGTAATTTTTTAACGAAGTATTACTGTCAGATTATTTTAAACCAAATTATTGACGTACTTAATGTTTGATTGAAAACGTAACCATCAATCATTACTGATAACGATTTGACAATAATTAATTAGAGATTATTTTCTGGGAATGCAGTAATATAGTGTTTGTTAAGTTGGGAATTTTTATACGTTTTTATTTCCTTATTTTACACTCACATTAACATTATTGCAAAAAATTTTATTTTTAAAGTAATATTGAGAGATCATTTGAGGGGAGGTTAGTAACTGTATAAAGCGAGTATATTGGATAGCTTAAAGACTTACGAATTAAGTATGATTTTGAAAATTTTTACCACTTTTTAAGTTTTTTTTAACTTGAAACTAATAAGTGTTTTAAGACCGCTGAGGTTGAAGGTTGAAGGTGACCTAATCATTATGACGTCAGTTATCCAAGTCTTATGAATTGTATGTAAGGTGGTTTTCGTGTTAGATCAATAACTCGTTTTTGCTCGCGACTTCATTCGCGTTAATTTCGCAATTACTAATATACATATATCTAGCTGACCGAGCGACCTCTTTTCCGCATGAGAGGTCGTAAATAACCAGAACAAAATTAACTATTTTATGTCCTTTCTCTTATTCTGAACTATCGACATCAATTTCCAACTATATCCCTACAGTCGTTCTTGAGTTATAAATAGTGTAACTAACACAACTTTCTTTTATATATAGATAATGTAATATATTTGGCCTTACATTGTTCTGTATGTCCGCGGCGTACATTACAGATCGCGGTGGTCTTCGTCGTCTGTTGGTGTTGGAGGTGAGGAGTGCTCCAGCACCCGGCATCGGCTGAGACATGGTGCGACGACGCTCAGGGATCTCCTCTAGAGACGGACTGGCCACGGGCTCGTTCATTATCTGCGAATAAAGAATATTATAATACTAGCTGCGCCCCGTAGGGCTACCTGTGGATTTCCGGGATGTAAAGTAGCCTAAGTGTTATTCCTAGACGTCAGCTTACTGTATACAAAATTTTATCAAAATCGGTTTAGCCGTTTGAGCGTGAAGAAGTAACAAACATACACACACACTCACAAACTTTCGCAGTTATAATATTAGTAGGATAATGCGGAACACTAGTAATACTTACATGTGCTATCTGATGATTCAGTTTCATTCTATTTATATATTTCTATGAATCAAAATCACTATCTTAGTTAGTCTTTCTCAATCTTTCACATATTCATTATTCTTCTTATTTTTATTTATCTTGTTAACTATTATTTCTTGTTCCTACAATTAATTACTATTTCTTCTATTGTAATATGTTAATAATATATTTATTCATCTTTTTGAGATAGTTTCGTCAAATTTATAACTATAGTTGAGACGAGTGTAATAGATATTATTTTATTTTCTATTAATTATTTAATTCAGCGTTCAACGGCTATTGTTGAGAAATAAAGCTGAGATCTTATTATTCTATGAGTTGGTTATTAAATAGTTTTACAACAAAAAATGTTAAAATATTAATAAACCATGTGAATGAGTTAATTTCCTTTGTATTTGATATAGATGAATATTTTATATTATTTTAATTATGATAAGATAAGTAGGTACCGTGGGTTTACCCATTATACTTTATACATTTTGTTGTTTTTGTAATGAGTTTTGATTTCTATGTATTATGAAATTTCTTCTGTGATAACGTTGGAAATATTTTTCGGAATCTACAATAGATGGAAGTGAGGTTTAAGGATAATATGTACCAGAAACGATTGACAACGGCATCTGTCGTGTACATAAAGTGACTTTAGACAAAGTACATCTTTTTAACATAACCGGAAAGTTAAACTAAAACGTGTTTTAAAAGCAAAAACTGTTTGTAAACCTTATTTACATTTAACGTTTATAATATAAGCAGGACTATAATTCCTTTTGAATTTTTAATTTTTCAAAATTAACGAATCTCAATTGCAGCAATATGTACGAGTGTCAGCAGCGGCAGTCGTAAATTCATTAGTCCCGCGCCGACCACATGTTCATGTTGATACCGGCTCGGACTGCTAACTCAATGTAACTTTGTTTCCATCTTTCAGTTTCTTCGTGGGTTTTATTATATTAATTATTCGTTTACATCTCATTTTAAATGTATGTTACATAGCAAGGCCACACGAATTGCAAGTTGACAATTGTTAGGAAACTCATACTGAAGTTTACTGATGTGGATTTGACATAATAAAAGTACTTTTATCACATGTATCTGTAGCTATCTCAATTAGTATTACATAAAATAGATTTTGATAAAAACTGTATGTTTTTATGCTATAATTTTATTATTATTTTATGCTATAATTTTATTATTATTGTTATATTACTTCCTTTTATTTATGTTTTATATTAATAAACAAAACTAAATTATGTGTTTATTTATGAGAGTGATTTGTAACTCATATGATTTGGAAAGAAATTGAATTCTGAATGATGACAAAAAGTAATTGAATGTTAACGAATGATCTGTGGCGGTTTAAATTTAAATGAGATTTGAGGCAGGATTGGATGATGAGCTGTGAGGTCCACCTCGGGACTGGTGAACAGACCCTCACGATATTTATATGACATTTATTATGTTGTACAACTATTATGACAAATAGATAAAATTGACAGGAGTTTTCTTGTTGTAAGATAGTAATTTAAATTTGACTATAACAATTATGACTCCCTTTAAGAGTTTCTAGAGTATCAATTTAAATGAAACTAATATTTTAAGATTACTACGAGTGTTTTATTATTTTAAAAACTACATAATTCCGACGTTTCGGCTACTTTTCAGCAACCGTGATAACGGGCAAACGAGATGTGAAAAATTCAATATTAGTTTCATTTAAATATAATTATAATTTGAAACTGATTTTACGTTTTAATTAAAAAATGTTTTAAATTAATTGTAAGTATTAAGTTCTGTTTTTTTATTATAAAATATTATTTTTATAAAGAACGCTTGGTATATCCTAAGTCAGTTGTGAGGACAAATGAAACCATCGTTTTTAACTGTAGGTTCCATTGACCTATCAGACCTTTTCACTCACATATGTCAACAAAAACAATCAAAAAATATCATCCGATTGTGCTCCGGAAAAATGATTAATACATAGAAGGCCGTCGCCAGAGAGTGGTACATGTTAAACGATAAAGTAACTTGTCACTGAGTAGTAGTTTATTTGAACTTTAAGCAATTTAAACATACATACATATCAAATTCTAGCTTCAAACGAAACAAACGCGAAGATAGTATGTAATTTATTAACATGAACATAAAGACACTTATAAGTGATAATTAGAAAAAATCTTTAATTAATTTTAATCAATGTAACCCATCATGATCGATACCAATCTGTGAACAATGAGTATAAACTGTGTTGGTGTGTCAGCGGCGTCTCTGATAAATGACTTTGATATCTTCTCTCATTCTTTCATTGTTACTTCAGTTTCTACAAGTTTGATTTACCTACTTTTTCTAACGACAACTACATCCTAGTCGAGAGTCGTTTCGCTGGCATTTTTATTTTAAACTACTAACCCTACTTTAAAGTTCTGAAGCGCTACATATTTAATTTATGATAAATAAAATCTAATTTTGTAAAACATTTTTTCCAATTTAATAGAAAGTGTGGACTCACCCCAGGATCTTTTGTAGTGATGAATGCAGGACCATCAGTTTCGCCAGAAAAATTCTGCAACGAGGTCTCCGAATGGAACTTCTTGTCTCCAAGGTTTTTCCTGTTCTCTATTTCCACAACCAGCTCGTTTCCTAGCCGAGCTGTCTCCGCCATTGTAACTTTTTTCAATCACTTTATTTTAAAACTCATTAATTATCATGTCCACTATCAAAACCCGACTTTTGATCAATAGTTTATGCGATTTGAATGCCAAATGAAGTGTAAAAAAATACGTTTCTGATAATCTTGTGTTATCAAATAAGATATATCAGTAATACAGTCGTAATTATCAGTTTAATGATCGCTTCCTTTGTGTACGAGTTAATATACCAAGCGAATATGGCATTGGGATCGACTGCAGAAATAATTTTGAAAAATATAATATATATTGTTAGGAAAATACAATCAAATCGATATCAGTCAGCGGTGGAGATATCATAACGCTAGTGTTATTAATTCGACAAAAATAATTAAATTAAAGATAAGAAATAGAGTAAGTTAGTTATAAAGATAACGGGAAAGAACCCACGAAATTCCAAGACAAAGATCTGTTTGTTTCGTTCACGGAAGAACATGGCGCTATCATTGATAGCGATGGTGCTGCTTCAAGGATTCTGTTTAAATTGTACGGGAAACACTTGAAAGAAAGTGCTGTGTTTTCATATGTAATTAGTTATTTTAATCGTTACATTTTAACTATTTCCACAGAAGCAATTACAAGTACCCACTACCGTACATTGATAACAGACAATGTATGTTAGTGGTACGTTTCCTTACAGAGCATTATAAGGTCATGATCGAGCTCCAAAATAATTGATGAAGATATCTGTTAGGATAACTTCAATATGTTCCAGGAGCCACAGTTAACAAAGATTCATTTAAAGGCACGCCGCTTCAAAATATGATTCATTGGATCTAATGACTCATTAATGTAAATAAGTAAAAGATAATTCCGCCTTATAAATATTTAATTGTCATTATACGCAAAATGAACATCAAATTTTTAATGCTAACCAAATAAATAATTATAATTTTATATCACTGCCCGTAATACATTTGTATATTTTCTTTTCTTTAAATCCATTTCCCAGCATTATAAAAATGTTATTCGCAAAAGTAGACGGTAGACATCATAAATAAATAAATAACTAATATAGTTCTTAATTTCAGCACAAAATTTATTGTAGTGATTTCTAAATATTAATCATTGAGGAGCTTGCTCAGAACTTCTTTTAATTCCAATGAGAATTCCGAAACCGGCAGAGCCAAGTCTTGGACGGAGGCTGCTGAAGCTTTTTCTTTGAGGATGTAGTCGGAGGGTACAACGAACAGTTGTTTCTTATCGCCAGGACTCTCCAAAGACTTGAGGTAGGGCGGCATCGCCAGATGAGGTCGCTTTTGCAACCATTGGTGGAACGCCTTCGTTGAACTGGAATAAAAATATTAACGTAATACATTCACAAGTTAGATTTCATGCAGTCTCTGTAATCCTATGGTGTAGGGCGACACTCACGTGAGATGCTGTACTTCATCCCATACACAGGCCATGCTCTTCAAGTCCTCGGGTATCTTGATCGGCTGCCACGTGCTCTCAGCGGCTCCCAGCTGTTCCTTGGCTCTCACCACGCCCTTGGTCCTCAACCTCTTCTCAGCGGCGGCGCTTCTCTCTGCCGCGATGTCGAATGCGATCTGTCGCTTCAATACTCTCGGACAAGATGCCTGAAGTACGATAAACATTATGAACTCTTTTTGTAACTCTGATATGATATTTCGAAACTTTTAAATTGAATCTCAGATTACCTTCTTGACTCCGACGCTGGCAGCTATACTCGGTAGTACACAAGGCAGTATCTTCGGATCAAGGATGAGGCCCCGGGACGCGTGCTCGTCAAACCAGACCTTTAAATATGCTTTTATGATGCACTTAAAACTACTGACGGTAAAACCGAACGCAGTAAAACTGCACTAGACACTTTATTTAGCTCTAAAAGCCAGTTCAGATATTAATACTTTAATATATATACATATATATGTATATTGATATATTTTCTTCTACATTGGCTTGAAAAACAAATTTATAATATTTCAAGATTAGAATAAATTCCAAACAAAAAAATGTTAATCATTTCTTTCGAGACGAATTTGTATAAATAAAATTATTCCACTACAATATTTTTTATAATCGAATGTTTAAAACAAGTAATTGTTACTTGAAATAGATCTTCGATATCTTCGGGTCGTTTGATTTCACTCTTGAACTCCAAGTTGCCGAGCTCGACCCACCAGTCGTAGAAATCTTTAGCGATCTTTAGGAAACATTATCAAAGAAGATTAAATGTATGTGAAATCTAAAATATTTAAAGTAGTTTCTTCTATATATGTATGTATATTGAAATGTTACTTTTTTGGTCATTATCTCGGCCTTCTTACTGAACTCGTCCGAGGCGGAAACTTCGAAAGTCTTCTGTTTATATTTCGACTTCCATTTTATCATATCGGTTTCCGATTTATTGCAGTAGAGCATATCAAAGTGGGGGTTTTTTCCTCTCCGTCGCATGTAACCTTGTCTGTAACGAAAATATATTCTTAATCTTATTTAATGTTCATCAAAGGATCGATTCTTCTAGCACCTACCTCATGGTTACTTCACTGACGTGGACTCTCAAGTCATCCGCTGAGGAAGCAGGCTCGTCGGCCATCGAGTAAGTCGACTTAAAAAGTCTGGAATGTCTCGAAATAGACTTACTCCTTGTACGAGACACTCTGCTCAGAGACTTACTAATCGACTTGGCGCTGAAAGATTTAGATCTCAGTACGGATTTTGAACGGGACAGTTTCCTGGGTTCGGTCGTGGAGACCGAGGAGACAGTCCACAGCTCCGACTGGTCCCGCAGACCGGTCTCGTCATCCTCTTCATCCATGTCGTCGTACATGTCTCCATCGAAGTCGCTCGCAGAATACGACGGACCCATCGGCCCCTGGTGTAAAATAAAACTGTATTGTTTTCACTTTAACAATAAAAGAGTTTCATTAATTTATTTTCCACAATCTTTATGTCAAAATTAATAGATATATATAAGTATATTACATTTACATTTTACAAAAAATTCCAAGTAATATTTATATTATATTTTATTGAATACATCCGACTCGAGATTGGTCATGGCTTCAATATTCTATCCAATCTATAAGTAAATCATATGTGTACATACATCCAAAGCATGTCTTCTAAATAACAATTGAAATCTATAAAACCTATATAACCTTTTCATTTTATTTCATTTCAACATTTTTAACAAATATAAGAGTAAACTGTAAGAAAAGGTATAAAATCACTACATACTTACGAGTTAAATGTGTTTAAATTTTCAACAACTATACTAAGTTAATTAAAAAAATTAAAAAGTGTCATTAATTCATTCATAGTTTTTCATTCAATCTGATACAATAGATAGATAATAAAGGGAAAATTGGTTTGTTTTTCTAAGTTTACGATGTGACATAAGCTGTGTTATAAAATCTTTATCATTGTAATACAAAATAATTGATCTACTTTAGTTAGTTAGATAAGATGCTAAAAATAAAGAGACGCGTAATACTCGTATTATCGACTTGAAAGCACTGCAATGAAACGAAAGATTTTTCATATTAAATAATCATCATCATCAGCCTATCAGAGCCCACTGCTGAGCAAAGGCCTCCTCTCACATGGAGAAGTTTTGAGCATTAATCTCCATTCTTGCTCAAGACGGGTTGGTGATTTCAAACTTATAATTTGATATAAGTCCAGGTTTCCTCACGATATTTTCCTTCACCGTATATCAGTGGTGTCTTAATACTCTTAGAAAGTACATACATATGACTCGGAAAAATCACATTGGTAATTACAAGGATTCGAACCCGCGCCTTTAACCTCTAGGCCACTACGATATACTATTTAATGTATTATTTAAAATCAACGCTCAAACCTCGCCTCCTCCTGCCGCTTCGTAGAACATTTCCGAAGGTTCCAGAGACATGGACTCCGACAGAGGCTCGTAAGGCTTCTCATCGAGATGCAGGTTGAAGATCTTGACGATGCGGCGGAAGATCTTGGGACCGACCAGCTCCTTCACCGTTTCACTTTGAGATTCCCAAAACTTGCAAAGAAATATTTAATTAATATTTTAATATATGAGTATGTGATTATTATTTATGTATATATATCTTATTTCTGAAATTAAAGTAACGAGTTACAAACTACGATGTGATAATGGTATTCTAGTTTCCTCCTTACATATCACATCACAAAGAGCAAATCGCACTGAGAATTCTATTGATATAAAGGTGAAGCCTTCAAACTTTAATTCACGAATCGTTATTAAATACAAGTCTTTGTACTTTCAGTATATAAATTACTATTTATAAAGATATCATCACATTTGAAGGAGAAAATATGTTTTTTTAATCGAACAAAGATACATATTTATGTCAGCTTATTAAATTATTCAAATGTGTAAAGTATTAAATGAATATTATTTTAGTTCGTATACTCTATATAGTGTACTGAGAGTCAAGATCTTATAAAACAAACATCAGTTTCTACGTCTTTTATGTGTATGAATTATAAAATGATTTAGAAAATATTATTACTGCTTCATCTTTATACGACAGCTCCAACTGGCGGAGAACGTTTTTCCAGTGTAGTTTGACGGAGGCTTCGTTCTGTTCAAAGCGAGATGGTTTGATGACTCGAATCTCCCGGGGTTTGTCCCACATCTTCACGAGAGGACGCTTTCCGCAAGACATGTTTATAATAAAATAAACTCCTTATAAAAATATTTATAAACGAAAAAATATCTAATCTATACCAAATGTTGTATTGTATTGTATCAGCAATAAATACCCTGTGTGACAAAAAAGTTCAATTGTTTTAAATTTGTTTGTTTATTTGGTTCGGAAACGAAACGGTAATTAATTGTAAAGTTACATTTGTAACATGATAGGTTTTATATTTAGTGGAAATAAATATTTACCATTTAATGCAAATTTAATATAAAAAATATGTATAAATTATAGGTTTGGTTTTTTAATTCAAACAATGAAATTATATGTGAATGTTGTTTATTATGTTTAGTGCCATCTTACGGCAACATAAATACATGCTACAGTGACATGTGTCGTAGGACAACGTCGTGTTTAACTTACTAGTTGACATTTCACTACAAGCTTTAACCAACTACTAATAGATGGCGCTATTATAAACGCACCCCTTCAGACTCGGCTGCTATCGCTAATATAGTTGTATATTTCAAAATTAAAAACATTACAATAGTACCCATATGAACATAAATAATAGAGTTGACTAAATAATAAAACTTTATTAAAATATTTTATAATATCCATACAATATTAAGTAAAATTCATTTCATATTAAGCACAAAACAGACTTTCCATTCATTGACAATTAAGTAACTTAAAATACTGTCGAGTTTAACTACGTAATGTTTAATATATAGGAACTTTAAACATTATTATCTAGATTTTCCTAGAAGTTCAGCATCTTCGAATGTATCCGGCACTTTGAGACCTCGTGTCTCAGGTTGGGTCAATATCAACAGACCAGCTACGGCCGCCATACCAGCGAATAACAAAGAGGGTATCCCGGTCCAGTAGACCATCAGCGGCGGCGTGAGAGGAGCCACCACAGACCCTATGCGACCTAACATCGAAGAGAATCCCAGGAACGAATGCCGATGTCTGGTTGGATACAACTCCGAAGTAAACAAATATAATGATGTGAAAATTACTCCAGTACTGAATTTCCCCGTCAGGTACAAGGCCAAAGATAAACCGTACATACTTTTAGGCGTAAAGGAGAAGGCAACACAGCACGCAGAACATAGCATGTAGCCGCAGAAAAGAGTGACTTTCCTCCCGACTCGGTCTAGTAAAAGATAAGCCGTCCAATAACCGGGAATCTCTATGAAGGTGGTCAGTATGTAGTTGAAGTACATGTTCCCTGACAGGCTGACTGAGTTTATAGACAGGCCGTAGTAAATGAAGGTAGTCGCTATCCAGTAGACGGGCGTAGTACAACATCGACGCAGCATCACTCTAGATTTCAACACGCGAATCAATAAAGGTCTGTTGCTTTCATCAGATTTAAAATCGCTCTGTTTCGGTATCGCCGTTAGAAGAAAATCCATGTTATCTTCGGATATAATTTTTCCGTTCAACCGAGCCCCCTTTTCCAATGTCGCTTTGGCTCTCTTGTTTTTATTTTTACTCAGCAGCCAGCGATGACTTTCGGTCACGATCCAGTAATACGATAATAAAGAAAATACAGGCACGAACAATGTGAGTGTTAGTTTACGCCACTCGTACACGAAGGCTGCGATCAATCCTAACAAGGACTGGCCCAGAGCGAACGAGGAGGACATGGTCGCGCTCGTAGGAACCCGGTACTTGGGACCCACCAGCTCGGTGGCTAGGATGTACGCCGCGCTATACAGCCCGCCACCTATCGCCGTGTGCATGAACTGCAGTATCACATACATCGTGTAGTTGACTGAGAACGCTTTGACGACTCCCACGAGAGCTACGTTGAATGCAAAAAAAACAATCGAGGTACGTCGTCCAAAGTAATCAGACACGAAACCGGCCAGTGGCAGAGCGATCATAGCTCCCAAACTGTTCAAGGTGCCGGCCAACGCTCGCAGCCATTCCTGACATTCGAGACCGAAGTCATAGACAACAGAGTTGGTTCTGCCATAAACGTAACCATCGCACGGCACTGTCGCGTTCCTGTCAAACAAGTCCGGCGAGCAGGTGTCGCGAGGTGAAATCGTAATGTTTGAAGAATAAACATATCGTGAGCAGTCGTCGAAGCCACCAGCCGTCTCGGGGATCGCGTTCAGTATCCATTCTGGATGGTACTCCGGCGGCTCTGTGTCACATGTCGCCACCGAACATCGATATGGTAATTTCCCCGCCGTGAACACATAGTCGCCGGCCATGAACCCCGACGCGATGGCGGGAACAATCAGCAACAATATATTGATCAGTTGGTACTTGCCGAATTGTCCCAATTCATTATTCAAAACGGTATCGAAGTCCATAGTTTTGTCTCCGCTGACGCGTCGCATCGTGGATTATTTTTTGTTTATGTATAATATGAAGGTCGAATGAAGCGAGCGTCGTAACTCGCGAGCCGCGGAGTCTAACTGACTCTGTCAGACGAGCCACAACACGGCCGGCGCGGGCGTTCAACAGCCGCGACCCGATGGAGAATGTTTGAGAATGTGTTCCGTTAATAAGAACAGACGTTTTATCTTTACAATACGGTTCAGGTGTTGCGAAATTTTGCAAACGCAAAATAAAGAAATACTTACATTTGATATAATTGTGCAACATTTTACATCGTTAATATACATTTTAATGAGCGTATTGAATTCACTACAACGTTTATTGACCGGTTAAGGAAAATAATTATTGGAAAAAAATAATACAATAAAATTATTATATAATTTTATCGTTTGAAATATTATTATTATAACAAAACATAACATTATATAAGTTCTATATAAAATATTGCCTTCTATTTTATTATTGTTTTATAAATGTAGTTTCCGCGAGTAAGGAGAGTCGTTTTCGTAAATGTGTTATAGGCGCTGGCACGTCTGTGGGTGACGGGGGCGGTGACCTGTCCTGCTGCAGCTCGAAGGTCAGCCTGGCGTCCAGCACCCCGGGGTCAAACATGCCCAGGCTGTTCAGATACTCCGGTCGTCGGTACTCTGGATGTTCTATCATCCAACGGCAGTACTCCTTCACACTTCTGCGAAATGTCATTGAACTTTGAACCTCTATAAATAAATATGCGCGTGACGTCATGCCTCGTACGATTTTAACATAATTGGCTCCGAGCTCATTGTGCCGTCGCGACGTATTTAATAACATTCGAATAAGGTACAAAGTGTAGCGACAATATTACGTACACACATGACACACATTAACACGTGTTCGATACAAAAAAAATGGAGATAATGTTTGATGATCAAAAGAACTGTATCACAGTGATAATACGGACGAGTCTGAGGTTTAAAAGAGATAATGAAATGTAAAACATTACAGCTCTGATAACACACTACACGCGACACGCGACTATACCTCTAATTAGGATAAAATAAATATGGAATGCTCAAGGTTAAAACAGAGACGCACGGACGACGAAACTATACCACATTATATAATAATTTGTTACCAATATTTAATTTATAAATGAATATCTTAGAATAATAATAATCACAACGGAAGGATATTAATATTAAATGATGTAAGTGTGTTGTTCATGTAGCCTGCTGGAGGAAAAACTCGTCTCGCTATAAGTCTTCGATCGTTGGGGACGTTAAACCTGTTTGGAGGACTTTTAAAAATATATATTAACGTATTGATTTTGTTTCTAAATCACTACAAGTGACGTCACACTTACTTTGGCAAACATTTTCGGTATGATTTAAAACGATTATGTTTTTCACTCGTGTGTTTGCATTTCTTTATATCCACTTTCGATTAATTCTTATACAAATTTAGCTGATACTCATATTATATTTTACAATTCAAATATAATGCTGTAGTATATATATGTATATATGAATAATATTACGGATAACTGCAGTGTGTCAAACTGTCCTTTACATAATAAGATTATTTTAAAGCGATTATTTACTGTATAAAAATATAAGTCCATATAAAACATTATCGTAATATATTTTAGTTATCATACGATGTTCTTTACGATCTAGAAGCTATGACCGGTTACTTTTACAATTAAAACTTAATTAATCTTTAGCTCGGATAATTCTCTGACGTGTTTAGAAGAGTCAATCATGTATATGATACCGTAGGTTGGTGATTCCTTCCCACACTGTCTTTAGTGTTACTAGCTCCCGGGGCACGTGTCTCGCTGATCGCCACATTTCCCTGGTGTGGTTGGCGGGTGCTCTCCACTGTTCCTTGTGAGGCACGCTGCGACTGAACGCCTTAAGATGACTAGGACGCTTCTCTGCTTTTATGTCCTTGGATATTTCACGGCCGAGGGCTGCGAAGCGCGATCTCTGAAACATACGAGTATATTATATGCGTTTTGTTAGTTCTCCTATAAATCTTTATCCTTTCCAAGTCTGTGTCATCTCTAAACCTCTCAATGCGAGTGACGATAATTAATGTACTGTGCAAGCGTAACCAGTAACCGATACGAGTATCACAAGTCACAGAGACAACGCAGGTGTAATTCATATTTGTCAAATGTATCCAAGTTATCCAAGTAACATTCCAGAGGTTATTAATTTATAGAGACCAAATACCTTCATCGTATTACCCTTCACAAGAGTCTGATTGCTTGTGAATTAAAAGGGAAGTCATGGTATGAAGATGAACAATATTATTTCTAACTACCTGCTGGTTGTCAGTGACCTCTGCTATTCTCTCCTCCACGGTCGGCATCTCCTTCGGCACCACCTTCAGGCTCCGAGCTACGTGAGTGTCAAACTCGATCTAATAACAAAATGTTAGTTGTGTGAACTTGTAATTATATTTTGTAAAAAAGTATGTGAAAATATAAAATCTGAAACTCGGAATCCAAACTTAGATCGAAGAAAATCTTTGTTTGTTTCTCAACTTCATTTTGATTATAAACTAGTTATTGCCTGTGACTTCGTCTGCGTTAATTTCGGAATTATGAATAATATATTCATAATTATATATATATATATATATATATATATAAAATACGATACATATGTATATTGTATATTTCAATGGGTAATGTCTATTCCGCTCGAGAGGAAGTAAATAACCAGATATTGGAATTTATTAAATTGTTTTTCTTTTTTCGACCGAACATAATTAAATATCCTATGTCTCCCGGTTCTAAGTTATCTCTCCACACATTTTCATCCCTTCAGCCGTTCTTAAGTTATAAATAGTGTAACTAACACAACTTTGTTTTATATATATATAGATGTATATAGGTTTTGTTACCACAAAGTAAATAAAGTTTTCACCTGTATTCTGGTCCAGTCTTACCAAAAGCTTATATAACTTATATAAAAAATACAATTAAAAGTAAAATATTTTTAATATACCGTGAAGAGTTCCTTCACAGCTTTCGGTGTAAACAGCTGGGATTGTTGATCTCCGCCCAGTTGCTTCATGTAATCACAGAAGTCGTGGACAATCTAAAGAATAAATAAAGTAACAATTTCATCGTAAATATTATATTACATTCTGAAAAAGAATTATACAGGGTGGCAACCGGAGGTGCCAGGAAAACTAGGAAACCTACTTAAATGTATATTATAATAAGAATTACATATTAAAACTTATAACCTACACCTAAGACTACATGATTGACCCGATGTTAGGGTAACAATACCATTCCATAGCTTGTGTGTATCAGGAATCTTCTGGTTCACACGGCTTGGTGTTCGTTCCGCGGAGTCAGCGGCGTCACTCGTTATATGATATTTTATCCATAAAACAATATTGAATTAGCGTGTACTTTTATTTGTTTAATATACTCACTCTATCCGTGAGATCATCGGCCTTCTTGATGAGTGTCTTCTGTTCATCTCTCTCCGGCTGGAGGTACCTCGTCTCCCAGGTCACCTGTTCACGTTCTGGCTTCTTCAGAAACTCCTTGTGGATATTTTTCTCAGAGACTTCTTCCTCACTATCAATAAAATAATAATTACTATACATCATTGGTAAATAATAATTACTATTTTTATTTGATTGGTTTCTCTTTAACTTCGTTATGTATATGTAGGAGGGCGTTATAAGAACAGGAGGGCCTTCATGGGAACTCATACTTTGAAAGGGATAAAGTACAGTCTATTCAATACGACACCAACTCAATCGAAACACTAGATATCACTATCACTTCGATACACAGCGATTCGTCACGAGCGCGGTGCGCGGGCGTCATCTCGCACGATACTGTAAAGATGGCCGCCCTCACTACCGTCACAATGACGCTTCACTAGGCTAACCTCAGACAGCTAAAAGTCAACCTGACGTATGATTTTTGACGGATGCGCCGTCACGGCCGGACTGACATCCGACCGACCTCGGGCGGTTCTCGGATCAATGAACTACAGTTGTGTCTATTCCGTTCGGCATCCTGACAAACGACTAGTTACAATCATCAAAATGTGCTATGGTACTTAAGGCTTAAGGCGAGCATCTCGTAGCAATTAAGCCAGACGACAACATTCATCTCACCACAATGTTCAAAGCATCCAGAACAAGTCAACCAACTTAAAGGGCTCTGACCCGGACGACTACATTCGTCTTGCCACAATGTTCAAAGCATCCAGAACAAGTCAACCAACTCAAAGGGCTCTGACCCGGACGACTACATTCGTCTTGCCACAATGTTCAAAGCATCCAGAACAAGTCAACCAACTTAAAGGGCTCTGACTCGGACGACTACGTTCGTCTTACCAGAACAAGTCAGCCAACTTAAATGGCTCTAACTCGGACGACTACATTCGTCTTACCAGAACAAGTCAGCCAACTTAAATGGCTCCTGACTCGGACGACTACGTTCGTCTTACCAGAACAAGTCAGCCACCTTAAATGGCTCCTGACTCGGACGACTACGTTCGTCTTACCAGAACAAGTCAGCCAACTTAAATGGCTCCTGACTCGGACGACTACGTTCGTCTTACCAGAACAAGTCAGCCAACTTAAATGGCTCCTGACTCGGACGACTACGTTCGTCTTACCAGAACAAGTCAGCCAACTTAAATGGCTCCTGACTCGGACGACTACGTTCGTCTTACCAGAACAAGTCAGCCAACTTAAATGGCTCCTGACTCGGACGACTACGTTCGTCTTACCAGAACAAGTCAGCCAACTTAAATGGCTCCTGACTCGGACGACTACATTCGTCTTACCAGAACAAGTCAGCCAACTTAAATGGCTCCTGACTCGGACGACTACATTCGTCTTACCAGAACAAGTCAGCCAACTTAAATGGCTCCTGACTCGGACGACTACATTCGTCTTACCAGAACAAGTCAGCCAACTTAAATGGCTCCTGACTCGGACGACAACATTCGTCTTACCACAATCTGCAGAGCATCCAGAACAACTCAGCCAAACGAATGAACGATGATCGAGACTCCAATGAGCTAGCCCCATCATCTCCACTACTTATACTCATGTGAGTGAACGATGACCCGGACATAGACTCCACAGAGCCAGCCCGCCCATCTTCACAACCTGATCAAGCGTCGACCGGACGTGGACTCCATCGAGCCAGCCCCTGCACGCTTTGATCCATCACTACTAGAAACATCGGCCGCATCAGCCAGTTCCATCGCCACCTCAAACACACCAACTCAAACTTACACAACTCATTTATGGTTTATCAATGTTGGAGGCCATCAGAGCCACTCAGCTACTCACTTTCATCATCTGACATAGCTTCGTTTCCATTCTCTCCACTCCATGACCCGCCGTCTCGGCCTCCTCATTACTTAGTTCAGTGGATATGTCAACTAACCCTTCAAAGCCTCTGGGTACTGCGCCCAAGTTTTCATGAGAGTATTTTAAAGTGCAATTAGATTCATCGGTATGTTTCAGTTCGTACCTATCGTTGTCTAGAATTTTAGTTATGATAAAAGGTCCCCTAAACTTTCTTTGCAGTTTAGTTTGGTAACATTCGCTACACTTAACAAAAACGTAATCTCCCCGAGAAAGAAAAAAGGTTTTACTTGGGCTTTGCCTTTACTAAATTTAACTACTTCCTTTTGATCTGCGTTTTCAGTGTTGAGGGAAGTTTTATTCCGGATATTAATGATATCCCTAAAGGGCTATTAATGATATCCCTAAAGATTGCGCGCGAATGCCAAACATTAGTTCTGTTGGAGTATATCCTGTAACACTACGGCTTGTGTTATTAAGTGCTAGATGACTCTCCCAGATCAGAGTAATTTAGTAAGATGGGGTAAAGGTACCGAAAACACTTGCTATATCTGCGGGAAGGCAGTTGGAACTGCTAAGCATTTGCTAGTGAGATGTAAGGTTCTCCTGGACAGCGGTCAATTCTCGCGTCGTCACTATAGGGTTTTAGAGATCATACTTGAAGCGGTTAGTCTTTCGGTAGCTAGAGCGCAAAGGGAAATAACCACAAACGAGCGATCAATAGGTTTTTTGTGAGAGAGAGCACCAGGGCTATAAAATCAAACGTCAAGCCTTACTCTATCCTTAAAGCGGCTTCGGATTGGACTATCATGATGGATACGTATGAGAAACAACATAAAATCCCCGAGGATATTTGTGCGTCAGCCTCCAGACCAGACATATTCGCGTATTTTAAAGCGCGTTGTGATGATAGAGCCTACGGTGCCTTGGGAAACCAACATCCCCAAAGACCATGCCATCAAGGTCATTAAGTATTACGAGCTCACTAACGAACTAACTCGAAATAGGTTCGTCCGCAGTAGAGGTGGGAGCGAGAGGCATAACAGCCAAATCTCTCTACAACATACTAAAAGACTTGGGCCCGTCCAGAACCAACACCAATTCATTCTCGGAACGTACGTCGAAAGCAGCCCTAGCAGGTTCCTTCCAAATTTGGCTAGGTAGGGAGAGGAACTTGGACAGTGGAGGTGAGCGTACAACGCGCGTTAGTTAAGGGGCCCCTTAAACCCACACCTGGGTCGCAAGTCCCAGGCACTGCTGAAGCTCCCCTCCCTGCAACGCGATGGACCCGGCACCCGCACGGTGAATCCATTGAATGCTAAGCGGTTTCGTCCCTTGTACCTCAGGAAGTTTGTCACGCCACGTTTTATGGGTATCGTTTTCTATAATAGTTAGCAGACATTTTAAAATCTGCATGACCCTTTCTACTTGACCGTTGGCTTTATTTGCCCCTGTTGTTATAAAGTAAAGTTCTATACGAGGTGTTTTACTCAATTCTCTAAAGTCCGCGCTTACAAAGCCCCTTCCCCGATATAACAATTCGCTTGAGAACACCGAAAAGAGAAACAGCTTTTCTCAACGCTTTAATAGTACAACTGGCATCGAGGGATAGAGTATGCTCTTAAAGGACATACTTGATAACATAATCAATCATTACTGACGCGTATTTCTTTTCTGTCGCTTTTGCCACTTAATGTCCCAGTCATATCTATGTGAATAGTATGCCAATAAAATGTATGCAAATCCGTAGGAGAATTTACATGGCCAAAATAGCAATAACCCCACTGAATAAAATTTGGAGAGATAGGAAAATTATTAATGGAACAAAAATGCATCTGATACGAACGCTTGCCTTCTCTATATTTCTATCTATCTAGCTATCCGATTCTGTATAGTGCAAAGACGTGGACTATGAAAGTCGTTGACAGGCAAAGAATTGATGCCTTAGGAATGTGGTGATGACGAAGTATGTTACGCATACCTCAAAATATGGTCAGCGCTTATCTAATATCTATTTGCAGCACATACTGGCGTTGATTGGTCAGTTCCCTGACAGAACTACGGACAGCTTTAAACGTCCGCTAGTGATTGAAAAAGTGGACGGTAACCGAACTAGAGGACTAAATCCCAAAAGGTGACTGGACCAAATCCCAGAACACCTAAAAATACCTGCCTGCGTTGCACTCCATCAAGAAACTAAACGTGTCTATCTCAGTATGGATATGGTTGATTTAAGTCCATACAAGGGACTGATGGACGATAGGTTACCAACGACTAACTTTGTTTCGCTCAATTTTTTTTCGATATAGCATATTGTTTCTAACATCGTAGATGTGACTAATTGAATCGGGAAACTTATTATTTAAGAGCTGAGCAACAATATCTTGAACATATGCATCACGTTTTTGTTCTACCGCTAACCACCCTTGATTTACCTCTACAAACTGCACAGACTTATTAACTACTTGAGCCTTGCTTTTGTCGCTCTTGGAAGTGCCCTGCTCAGGGTCATCTATGTACTCTCGGTGTTAATTTTTTTTTTTTTTTTTTAACTAAGAAGCTTTGAAAGGATTGCCACCCGTGAAAACGATAAAATGATGACCATATAGCTTTTGCTTCAAATATTCTTCCGCTCGAACGACTGCCGAGGTCTCAAGTTCATGAGAATGATACTTTTATTCCGTGTCAGTTTTCCGGCGACTGAAATATGAAATAACGTGAGGAACTCCGTTCTTTCATTTAATTAAAATGGTACCGTATCCGTTGGCGCTGGCATTCGTGTGTAATTCTATAGGAGGCTCGCGATCAAATATAGTTAGAATAGACTCCGTGGTAAGTATTTGAACTATCCATTTACGAATATTACCGTGGACTTCTGACCGTTTAATTAAACCCTTTAACTTAGTGAGTAGACATAAGGATCGTACTAGGCGGAAATAGTTCGGTATAAAATTTCTAAAACAAAAGGCTTACTATAAGAATTGGTGTTAATCTCCCTAGAGTCAACATACATTATGTCAGAGTTGTCATTCGGTTTTGTTTTTTTTTTTAAATTAGAATGGGGCTTGATAAAGTGTAAAATGATTGTTTCAAAGAGGGCATCCATTTTTTTTTTTTTTTTTTTTCGAACAACCTCTTATAATTTGTAAGGTCTCTCTTAGACTATGTTAGGGTCTAAAGAATTAGGGTCTAAAGAGTTAAGAGGTGCCCTTAATAATAAAATGAGTTATACTTCTTAAAAACATCGATAAGGGCTTTGTTATCGTCGCCTTCCAAATAAGTTTTGATACAAGAAAAGTTAAGACTGTCTGAGGTTGGGCACTTATCTGTTTTTGTCGTTTCAGGTTTTGAGAAAATAATGTAGTCACTGTTTATCTCTCCTTTAACCCCCCACTCTACAAGGTCCCGTCCAACAACCACGGATTCAAGAATAATATTCTCTTTAATAATATGAAACAAAAGAGACACTGAAACACTTTGAATTATGACCGGGCTTAAAATTTGTGTATTACAATAAGTCTCCGATGCCTTTCAGGGGAACTACTTCATTGCTCAAAGTACACAGAAATTTATTTGAAAAATTTTCAGATACAGACACACATTAGTACTACATGAACAAGTACACCCACTACTAAAAAGAAAAGGAACAGTCTCACCAGATGACGTCGTCAACTCCCCTCGGCTCGGCCCATGGTCACACAGATATCTCCTTCACCGGCGAGCCTCAATTACCGGTACCTTTTACGATCAAGACACGACGAGACGTCCTAACCCTTATATCTGCTTCCGTACGATCCAGATTGAACCGGATCAACTACGTCGTCGAAGTTAGTTGAGAAGTTGACATTATTTTCATCGACAAGTTTCTCATTATTTTTTACAAAGTTTAACATAGATGGATGATCACTACTCTCCTCATTTTAAAGCCCTTTCGATCCCACTTCTGATGTAGGAGGGCGTTATAAGAACAGGAGGGCCTTCATGGGAACTCATACTTTGAAAGGGATAAAGTACAGTCTATTCAATACGACACCAACTCAATCGAAACACTAGATATCACTATCACTTCGATACACAGCGATTCGTCACGAGCGCGGTGCGCGGGCGTCATCTCGCACGATACTGTAAAGATGGCCGCCCTCACTACCGTCACAATGACGCTTCACTAGGCTAACCTCAGACAGCTAAAAGTCAACCTGACGTATGATTTTTGACGGATGCGCCGTCATATATAATACGCCTGTTATTTTTATGGGGCTATTACATTATATTAAAAGATTGTTCTCTTTCTATATAAATTTATCATCTTAACTTTGTGAAATTCATTACAGATCAGCTTAACAACAGATTTCGAACCTAAAAATGCTGACTAAAATGGATTAATAAATTAAGGTAATAATAAAAAGTTTGCTAACAATCATAATAAAACAGTAGGAAGTGTGTTGTGATATTAAATTTGTTCTATTAACATTACGAGCTGTAGAATTGTATTGGATGATCGTATGATCCCTATCAGCATCAATAAACAAGTTTAAATAAGATAAGATAAAAGATAAGATTAATATATATGAATGTGTGAGTCTCCTCACTTCCTTTATTAAGACAATTACGAAAAAACAGAAACTCGTGTCATCCAAAGAATGAATGTTACAAAAGAAAGAGTTAATGATGAGAGGAAGGACAGACGGTACTTATATTAAGTACTGGACACTGTATGCTTATGATTATTTTATACACAGGGTGTCTGGAGGGAAGCATTAAGATTTTTAAGTCATTTCCGCGTACGTAAAGTTATATCTAATTTGTTCTAGTCAACACTGTATCGCCTCTGTATAGCTGCTACTGATAAGCTCACCTTGAGCCACACTCCACGTCGGTGTCAGAGTCCAACTCTCTGTGTACATTGATAGTTTGTCTGCGAGACAGCAGCGGCTGTTTTACAACTCTGCGTGTTTTGTCAACTGTACATACAATGGAATACAGATTACATGTGATTATATGAGAACATAATTAATTGATAACTGTTTTACTTCGTTAATTAAAAGACCTTTATCTCCCTACCAACGATCGATGTAGTTATCAAAGTATTTTGTCATGTTTCATGCAAGGAATTAGTTTTTTAATTTATGTTATCTCTCCAATAATTTATTTTGGAGCTCCTTAATATCAGCTGCTTCAATCATATATATTTATTTTCGAATTCTTAATAGTATTGCAAAAGCATAAGGCGTCTTGATTATTTTAATGTTTCACAAAAATACGAAGACCTATTTGTAGTGAATAGTTATGTAGTTAGAATGTGTTCACCTGGTCGTTTCTCGGCTGGTGTCGTAGTCTCGTCTTGTGTCGTTATGTTCAATATCGAACAAACTTTCTGGCAGACATCCTTCGGCAGAACTTCAGATAAAACTTTCACATCTTTCTCTTCCAACTGAAACAAAGCACTCATAAAAAAATACTTTAAGAGCAGTATTTAGTGAAGCAGATAATTTAAACTCACCGGCTTATTGTCGTCTGAAGTCAATCCGTTAAACACCTGTCTCCAGTAACTTCTGTTGCTATGTATCGGTGCCGAGCCCTCGTACTTGGAAGGCTTCACTCTCATAATATTCAGCGGCCGCCTCGCCTTGTATTCTTTACCACATCTATCCATGTTCTCTTCAACAGTATTTTTTCTGGCAATCCTTTATTGAGTGGTGTTTATGTAACGTCAGTTTATACATGTTTGTGTATATGTAGTGCGGACGGCTCGTAAATCTATTGCGCCTCGCAACGGTCGATCGTATTGTAAATAACTCGGGGTACCTGAACGGGCTCGACGGTAACCATGCAACCTGCACCACGGACGTATAACGTTTTTTATTAAACGGATTCACTCGATATTTTCCGTTTTATTGCTCACAGTCGAATTTAAAACGAAGATTCGTACAACTTAAAATTCGGCTCATGAATGTTAAATACGCTTTAAATATTCGCTTTTTGTATAAACTGTGTGTATTTATTATTTTAATGTCAACTCTGCGAGTGTGTACAGGACTCGGTAAACTGTACATCGCCAATTAATAATTATTGATTACAAATATGGAAGAGGAATTTAAAATGGTGAGAGTTAAACTCGGAACTGGGGACAGTGATGTTTGATCGACAGCAGTAGAACATATTGATTTATTATAAAAATAAGACGAAACTTCTCAGCATTCAATGTATTCACCGTGCGGGTAGCGGGTCAAATCAAAATCAAAGGAACTATACGTACTTATATTTTTAACACACAGTTTTCATTTATTTTAATAAATACAACACTGTCTGTGTTTGCTTTCATAAAACTAAATATTGTTTTCATAAACAAGGTATTATATCCATTTTTCTAAACACAAATATATTGGTACAAACCTCAACACATTGAATGGACTAAATGTCATATAAAGATGTTCTCTCCGAGCTCTCACCTCCTTGCTGCGAGGAACAGACTGTTCCTGACACAAGATAAGTTATATCATGACACACTACTAACATCGGTTCAATCAAGTAGGCTACGACTGTGACTTATAAGATTCAATAATGATTATTATAATATTTTATTCGCCTTTTTTACCACACCTCAATCCCTGACACTCCATGGATACTAGCATCATACAAATATATCAATCAAAAATATACGATTTGTTTTTAATAAAACGCTTAAGTCTTTTCTTTAATAATATAATTATTAAGTGTTTTATATATTGTTTGTCTCCCTTTCTCTTTTCTTGGATGTCTTGAACCCTTCTTATTAAGGCTTTACATATTTAGCCTCTTTATCGTTGTATCTTATAAGAAAATATTCAGTATTATATTAAACATTAGACAAAACAGCTTGAAAATGTTATAGATGTAATGAGATCTTCGCTAGTCTTATTCATTTAAATGAAACTAATATTTTTGATCGTGATTGTGATATAACCATAATCACGGTTGCTGTAAAGTAGATGAAACGTCGGGAGTATGTAGTTTTTATCAAAAATAAAGTCGCGTAGTATATCCTAAAAATCTACATTCATTTAAATGTTATAGATGTGTATTTCCCAAAGAGGGTTGATGGTAGGCAGGCGCCCGGTCATAAAACAATTAGCCAAAACTATTCACAACATGTAAGGCAGACCCTGGCTATATCTGGGAAATTGCCAGGTAGAAGAAGAAGTTGTAGTTGTGTATTTTTATCTTATATTATTGTATTATTTCTTCGATACAATATTCAAAAATCTCCATAACTCTCTTTATAAATCCATTTTATTAAAACAGTTAAAATAAATGAAGTCAGCATTGTGTTGAATTTATTGATTCGTCAAACCTATTGTAACGTGTCAGTGGAACTAACTCCGACTCTGAAAACTTTATACATTAACTAATGTTACACTCAATGTCGCCTTGTAATTTAGGATTATAAAAACTATTGTAGTTATCTACTTTATAAAAGACGATAGATTTTTAGAATCATAACAATATTTTCATTTTATCTGAAAAACAAAAAAAAAACTTAAAATATTATTGAACAAACGGCTGTAAGTCATGAATCGGTTTTATTTTTATTTTTTTTCAGTTGCATTGTATTTTTATGGACCGTTCCAACATATAAATGCTAGTCTGTACCTTTCTGTATAATATTTTGATCAGCTGAACACGAGCAAGTGTCTCGTGGAGTCATGAAGTTTATTCGGTTGAACAGTTATTTGAGATTTGAGGCGACAGTCCCGCCTTAACACAATATTATTAAAGTGTGAGGCGTCAACTTATGAAGCTATGTTTAAGTTCCTCGCACGCTCTTGTAATGTGTTGAACCTAATAGTCATGTCGCTTGTGACTTTGATGTGTCTAACTTCATATATTTCGAGTTCTGTAACAGATTTATATATTTTGTAGTGGTTTTGCTACTGTTATATATTTTTAAGTATTTTTCATTTCGCGATAAATATTAATTATTACTCTTTATGAAACCACAAATAACACAAAAACGTTCATCCGATTCCTTTTACTCTTAGTTTCATTCCAGCGAGTGATATTAAACTTTTTTATGATCTTAATCAATTCGTCGAGCTCGGTAGAGGTTTTCTCGTTCATTGAATACGATCGACCGGTTCATTTCAGATGAATCTATGAACATATGAATTGTGATGTATGTTTTAATATGATCTGATGTAGTGACAATCATCATCAGTGATGGTGAGGCAGGTTTCACGTCCCGAGTCCTCATCCTCCTCACAGAGGCGAGACGTCTTAATAAGTTGCGTAGTTAGTGACTTGTGTAAATTTACCTTAACGCCCAATATACATACACCCTTCACGTCATTATTCTTAGCTAAGGCTGTAATTTATATGATCGTATAGTACACGCAAAATTTGTGAATCCTCCTCCAACATTAATTCCGCTATAAATTTCATTAATAACATTTTCTGTTCACGATAATGTTGGAGCTTCGTTCCTTTTATTACTTTAGTCCTATTCCTCTCTTATCATATTATCATATTACAACGATATGTCTCTACGAAATTACACATATACAAATTATCTTCTCAATAATATATATTTTTAATTATGTTCAATATCTCTACGATATGAAGTATACTACAGTAGTAAAATAATATGTAAGAGAAGATAATCAACAAAAAATTGTTACCTAATTAACAGTAGGTTACTGTAAGTGGCACATAATAATAATAATAGTTTAATGAAGCATTTCATTTAAAGTTCAATAACAAGAGGATTTTATCTCAAAGCATAACATATGCTGCCCGGAAACTTACCTTTACAAATACCAGCGAGGCAAACAAGAACAAATGAATAGCGTTTAGGGAGACCGCGAACGGTATACCCGAAAATTTGTGATCTGCCGCCGGATAACATTCCCACCTTAGTGAGGTCAATGTATTAGAGTTACAATTAACACACTAATTACATGCTTAATAACATTGTTTACTTGACTTTAGACACGTCTCATTAAAGACGACGGTTTATTAGTAAATATAATAATGTGTCTTTAAATATATTGCTCATTAAAATGATGTTCTGTTTTTAACACTTCAGTCATTAAAAATATTGAAGCAGCTGGAATTTTTATTGATTATTCGACGCCCGCTTAGGAATCAAAATGATAAGAAATATATTGTCATGGCATTGTCAAATCTGTTTTAATTAAAACACAAGATGTGATTAAAATAACTTTATTTTTTTCGACTATAATTTATAATCAAAGCACTCGTCTGTGAATATTTTAAGCAAATTAGGATTATCATGTATCAATCGATCCAACGATCTCTTACGTTTCAATAATATATCGTTTATAGTGGAGGTCAAGGGTACATCTGTGTCTGTTGGACATTTCATATTAAAATCATCAGTACACGAGCATGGGACTTCTTTGATGGCTATTTCTTCCTGACTTGAGTATTGAGTTCCTACCGTGTGCCATTGCTCCTTCGTTTTAGAAAATGGTAACTCCTGTCTAGCGATTGTTTTCGCACTCGTGTTTTGGGGAAGGGAGTCCAACTTTGATGGTTCTCCTAGAATTGTCGTAACTCTTCTGTAGTTATCCTCTGTGTAATCGAGGTACGAGGCTAAGTATGGGAATGTGTTTCTCTTGCCCCAGTCACCACATTTTCGGACTGGACACTCTTCCATACGCGAGATATCATTTACAATAAATGTTTCGGTCAAAGATGTGCTTCTGACAATCGAAGCAGAGGCCTGTGGAGCTGGTTTTTTAAACACACTCACCGTTGACACTGCCGACTGGTGGTCTGGCCTCTGTTCCTTTTGATTTGGTTTGTCACATAAACATATTTGGGTTCTCAAAAACTCTTTTATACTTTCGTAACCATGACATTTAGCATAAATATATTGCCTTTCTAGCGTAAAATAAGGCAGATCTACATCGGGAGGTATCGTTTCTCTGCTTCCGTATTCGTAAGGGATAGGATCGGATAGATCACCAACTATAACAAATGGTTTCTCTGTGCACACCTCTTCTTCTGGTGTTTTTGTTTCAAATTTAAAAACGTTTTTCAGATCCTTTTCTTCTTCAATCAAGATAGAAGATTTAAGATGAGGATTTTTTGCTATTTCATTTAATTGTAAAATAACCATCTTTTCAAAATCTAATAGGAAGGTTGTTTGTTCCGGCAGTAGTTTCAATGAGAAACTTAAAAACTTTAAGAACAGACGCAGTATGTTTTGTATGTTCTGCTCCCACTCCCAGTTGATGTCGGCGATCCGCTTATCTTTTTGTCTGAATGCTTCTATCACATCTTCTCTTCGTTTTATTTTCTCTATTAATTCATTTATTTCTCTCGTTTGTATATTTTCTACCAGCAGTTGTTTCATGCGACACTTCTTCCTTTCTGAACTCATTATGTACATGGCAGTTGTAATTCGTTTTGAATCTATGTGGTGACAAAAAGCCTTTATAGCATCGTTTCTGTCCTGTATAGCCTTCTTTATAAGTTTGTTGTTCCTGTATGTTTCATTGTGTAACAATAACATATAATATTTCCTGATCTTCAATATTTCCGAATCAAATCTTTTTTGCAATGTTTTTTCCAAAACTCGTCTTTCTTTTTCAAGCTTCAACTTTATTTCCCCGTTCAGTTTACTTATGATGTCAGCCTGAGCGCTTTCAATGATGTCCCGTATTTCAGATCTCAGATAGTTTTCAAGTTCTTGAAGAGTGTTTTGATAGAAATTAGAAATTTCTCTCTGCATTATAGCACTTTTGATTTTGAATATATTTTGGTAAATGCTCTTCACTTTCTTCTCAACGAATCGTCTCTGAAACTTATAAACGTATTTCCAAGAAGTGTCATTTTCCTCCAACAGAGCGGATACTGATTTTAAAAACTTTGCGTGTTCAATATCCAACAACTCATTGCCAATAGCTAGAATACCCTCCTGTGTTTTTCCTCTTGTGATTCTCGATGTAAAAGGAGGTGTCAGTTCTACTACACCGATAAGTAAGTCACTGGGGGATATCCATTCCTCTTTATCATCTTTCTCATGAGACACCACCTTACTGATCTCATCTTCTTGTGACGTCTCAGTGTCTTTACACTGATCTTCGAAATAAATATCAGCATAATCACACGTTACTCGGTCACCTTCTTGTATAGTATCAAGTTTAACAAAATTATTTTTTTTCATTCTAAAAATTATTATAAAAACGTTGAAGTGACATCACTCACGTCATTTTGATGTTTATTATAGACATTAAGATTATCGAAAGGAGATCCAATAGAAAGTAATGTTTTATATGAAGGTACGTGTGATATAAGACAACTATATTATTATTATTTAATGATACTATTTTTATTATGATTACAGGTTAGTTAATCCCGGATCGTGTCTCCTTCATTCTACACGACACAGGCAGAATATACTGTTCCCGTTAGCACGGATGAAGGAAATATTTTAAGCAACCAACCTACCAGGTTAGACCAGTGCCGAATTAAATTATAGTAGAATGAAACCCATTAGAAAAGGAGGGGAATATTATAAAAATTAAGGGAAAAATAATTTACGGGCGATCTGAGGCCGGGAAGAGTACGGGCGTGGGTATTTAAGGGTAAAAAATGGGTTTTCTTGATTTCCGGAAAAACTAAGAGTCCTAATGAAAAATATTATATAGCAAAGTTGTAGGTAATAAAAAGATCTAAAACTTTTGTACTAACATATTTTTAAATTTATGTGAAAAATTCGAAAAACCAAGTTTTTGATTTTTTATTTTTATCTGTTACAAAAAACAATATTTTGTCACGAAATTTTGTGAAAACTTTTCTTTTGATATCCCAAATACACTGTAATTTATTTGATTAGAAATATTTATTTTTTAGCTTATTTTGAATAAATATCAAAAAATCAGCATCATTTTCAATCGAAAAATCACCCGTCAAAATATTAGCGTTTTTCAAAATTTTTTGTGTGTTTTCTATTCTTTGAAATCTCTATTTTCCGATGGTGAAGAAAAAAAAATCAAATTTCTAACTTGCAGTACCATTTTTGGATAAAATTATCATGTCCCTTGTAATGAAATGACACTCAATATCGTTTCGAAAATGCTCTTTCAATTTATTTTTAATAGTTTTAGCAGCTTAATGACAATTTTCTGTAAATTTCCTAAAAGAGGGACTATCTGGAGAACTTCCAGAGTACACAGCTATCCTTTTCTAATCGGTTTCATTCTGCTATAATTTATTTTCACTTTTCATCATTTTTAGAGGCATCTGCACTGGCCTAGGTTACTTAAGACAGCTACCACAGTCTGTACACCAATAGTTAAATACTGAAAACACTCTAATTATATGGATTGTTGTATTACGTGAACGTGTCACTGACACGACGTGTTACGACGAAGTCTCCAACGTCATAGATGGTTTGCTTATTAATTATTTACTTTTCCTTGACATCGAAACAATAATGATCTATTAATAATCTTTAATTATCTACAGCTGGTAGTAAATCATTGTCAAGGTTCGTAAGTAAAACATGGATTAAAAAGTTTCAATATATGCTAAATAGAAAGTTTAGTTTAAATAAATCTTCTGCTTCTTCTACCTGGCACTTTCCCAGATTTAGCCAGGGTCTGCCTTACATGTTATGAATAGTTTTGGCTAATTGTTTTTACGTCCGGCCGCCTGGCTGACATCAACCCTCTTAGGAAATGCAATAATCAGTGATGTCTAAATACTCTTAGAAAGTACATATGAGTCGGAAAAATGACATTGGTACTTGCCCGGGCCAGGATCGAACGCGCGCCCTACTGGATGAGAGGCGGGTCTTTTAACCACTAGGCCACCGCTTACTTTAAATAAATCGTTCCACAAAAACCACTTGTACCTAGGCGTTTGACTTCATTAATTATTCTACTAGTTTTGAATAATACGTTCTCGATAGTAATGGACTCAAGAATACATTAACAATCGTTGTTGATGAAAAATTACTTAAACACAACTTATATGTAACATACATACAATCATACACCGGTCAATGTACATACTCTGTTTTGTAACAGTACATTGTTACAAGTCTGTCATTTTGAAATACGAAGATAGATATGGTCAGGCGTACCTTCTAGAGTCTAGAGGAATACTTGTATCTGAAAATCTTATTGAGATAATATATACCAGAATAATATTTTGTTTTTATATATTCCTAATTAGTTGCTGAATATGTCTTTCGTCACATACTAAATCTCCACTGAGAAACATTTTAAGATCATTTTTAAGTTTCACTATCGAGGAATCCTTAACAAAGGCCTGACTTTGTCACTATGATATTACCTTTAGAGTAAAATATGCCCTTTCGAGTAAAATAATATTTTTAAAATATTCATTTTAGAGAAGGGTTTATAGATTTTTTTCTTTTTAAGAACTTTCTTTTTAAAGTCGTTTAAAAAGTAGTATAAGATGCTCCTGAATCTACTTAAGAGTGGAATTACCTTTATAATTGTTCAAGCCTTTCCTGAAATTTAAATTAAAAAAAATCATTTTTCTTGTATTGCAGTCTTTTAATTATCGTAGTTAGGATACTTTGATATGGGTTTAGTCGAAACTTGTTAGTTTAAAATTACAAACAGATACTTCCATTTATCTTTTTAGAATAAAAATTTTGTTATATATTAAAACAAATGAAGATCAGAACATATATTTTTTACGCTGCTATTACAATCACAGTAACATGACACGTCTTACAAGAAATAGTAAAAATAAAATTGAAAGTCCATACAAGTCATATTTATAACAGGAGAAACATGTTTATAGAATTAAAAACTACTTGTAATACATTCGGATATATTATGTTGTTAATTATACCATAAATTTATTGTAGCACAGGCTTCGATAACTTTAAAGGAGCGACAACTGGCGGCGCATAAAATGATATAATAAAATAAGTTAGTGAGTCATCGCAGTGTTTCATTGAGATTACTTTAATAACGACCGGGAGATACTTACGGAGCAGCAGTTCGTTGTTCAGATAGATGTACGTGTCGACAGGCTGTACCTGTGATTAGCAACAGTAATATAAAGAGAAATGCCTTCGCCTCTAAATTTAATTAAATACTTGCTTACACCTCCCACCCACTGATGCCCGCTTCCCGACACCGCGTCTACCCTTCTCGACGTGCTTTATAAATATGGTCCCCTGGTCGGAGTAAATTCATTCGGTAGCTGGGAGGTGTGTAAAAAGCTTATCTGCAACATTCGATTCCTCGTCTCCGAACAGGCGTAGTGGAGCCGTAGTGGAGCGGAGCACGTTATAATAAATAACGGACGTATCTCGACGCCATTCTCATTACGGATGCGGCAATGTCCGTTGGAGTTTTGTCATAACTCAGTCTCGGTTAAAATTATTTCCGTTGGCTCTGATGAGAAAACTAGAGGTAGGGAGCTGGAAATGTAAGCATCCGAGCAACAAGCCGTGGAGTAACGACAGAGCGTATTTCATTCTTAACGAAGTTACATTTCCGGCGACTTATTCAACGGCGTAGAATAAATATAACATAAAAATAACGAACATTTAGTTACCGCGGACAGGATGCCTCAAATACATTAACAAAGGATATCACTGGTTAATTATATACATACTTTTATCAATATAATATATGCTAAAAATGTATTCCTCAAAAAGAAAAGATACGAATCTGTAGTCTCCAAATTTTTCCAATAAAACTCGTTCCTAAAGAACATTTCGTCGTACCCATTAATATTTTTATTGTGACAATTTTAGTTTGAATCGTTATATTGATGCGGAGGTCGGAATAAATCCAAGTTCCAAGTTTGTAGTCGGCATTACGAGAAGAGCGAGAGTGATCTAACTTTTGATAAGTCTTCGTATTGTACAAAAATTGAACGAAAGGTGTTAAGCTGTCGAAACTTTTATGAGAACTTCTGACGGATCCGAAATAAAACAACAGCCATATTTCAGAAACTAGGAGTTACGGGTACCTGGGATTGTTTCCTCCACATCATATTGGCAAATAAATCTCGGTTCTGTTCCAGCTTAACAAACTTAATTCCCATACATAATTCATTGCGTCGATTCGTCGCGGAGAGGAAAACTTTCTCAACTCGGCCCGGGAGATCTTCCCGCCTGACATCCGTCTATTAGTTACAGATAACTCACATACTATCAACATCCCGCTTCATTCACTCACCTGTCCGTTTAATAAAATCTTTATCTCTTTGACACTTCTGATAGTTTCAAAAGTTAATATTTAAACATGACTCACCTAATCCCTATAATAGTCTAATTTAGAATGACACTGTAGACACTTTAAATTTCAAAGATGAACCGCGGTGTGTAGATGTGATCTCGGCGGCGTCTCTCGGCGTCGGTCGGGCGAGGAGGAGCTCCCTACATATTTCATACTTACAGAAAACAAGTTGGTAGACATTTCCCGGCGAGGAGCGAGCGTGGAGCGGAGAGATAAACATTTCCTTACAGCGCATCCTCTGTGACGTGACTACACTGTCACAGTGTACCAGCCAGTGATGAGCCAGCGAGAACGATGAGTGTTTTAACACTTACAATGTAATTCAATATTCATTTATATCTCATTACATCATTGGGCTCGCGACACCACGAGGATGTTGTAACCTGATCACTGCGTATATGACAATACTTGGTCTCATACACTGAACTCATGTCTATTACTTATAAAGATTTTACTTTCAGGATCAGCTGAGACATCTTAATTATGAATCATATAGTCATATAAATTATACTCATTTCGTTTGTTTGAACATATGTAAGAAAGGTGAAGGAAAAATAAGATAATGAAGCTTTTAAATTTATTCTATATTTAAGATATTGTATATGAAATAAGCAAAAAACCTCTGTTGTTAGTGAGATCACCTCTCAAACGATTTGTTAGTCAAGTTATCACGCCTTTATTCGACTGGTTCATTGTGTGTGTTCTAGTAGGTGGCGAGATGAGGGAGATTATACCTCTGTTAAGTTTTCTAACAAACTTTTCCAGATTCATCTATTATAAAAAGTATTTTAAAAGTCGTATCACGGTCACTGAAATACCTCCGAGTACTTGCTTTTTATTAAACGCTTCGAACTGGTTAGAATCTTCGAGCTAACGATAAAGCATTTAGAGATTTAAATTAAATTTTTTCATGTTATACATACGGAAGCAT